TATTTTTGTGTGAGCCAAGTCTTCAGTTTTAGCACATCATTTATAAAATATGAAACTTGCAGTAGCTCTGCTTCTTCTTGGAAGCGATTTGCTTTTCTAGTTAACATTTTTTGAAATAGCAAATCCTTATCAGTGCAGTCAATAAATCATAAAAAGGTGTTTTTAGCACGCTAATGCAGTTCAGTAATGCAAAAAAATACATTTGAATTTCTCAGACATTTGCTGTTTCACAGAGGCTGTTGTTTACAAGCCGACAACCATTTTATGAAGACAAAGTGAACAAAACGCCTCCAATTTACAGTCAGTCAGACTGGTGTTCATTTAACGTTAAGAAAACAGAGGAGGCTATAGGAGCGATGCACCCGTCCCATGCATAAATAATGTTTTAGGGTTCGGCAAACTGAAATATTTACTGCATTCTGCATGACAGAAAGCCTATGTGATGAGTCCACACATGCTGATGATGAATTATTAACTCTGCGTGTGTCTTCTCAGGTCAGACTCTTGGGATTTCTGTCCTTGTTTCACCTTTCCTTCTCTCATTCTCAGTTGTCATCATTGGACATACTTTTACTTGGATACCTGAATTACTCAGCCGTAATGGTGCTTATCTCAGGTCAGACTCTTGGGATTTCTGTCCTTGTTTCACCTTTCCTTCTCTCATTCTCAGTTGTCATATGGACATACTTTTACTTGGATACCTGAATTACTCAGCCGTAATGGTGCTTCTCTCTTGTTCTCAAAGAGAATTAAGCTGAGAATTAGTTTCTAGTCGCTGAACTGCATAAATAGAGTTTGGGTCACAGTGATAAACAGGCCATAAAATGTGATGATATAAGAGGATGCACTGTTTGCTGAAAGAAAAGCTTGACGCAGATGGTTCCATCATGTGTGCTTTCCTTTCCCTGTAAACCACAGTTATTCAAAACCTTTAATTATTCAGCCAGCGTGTGTATAATTGCTTCAGTGCGGTTAATGGAGATGTGCTCAAATTAATGGCGTTCTAACGTTTGGAGTCAGTTTTTTTAAAGAAACTTTTTTACTTTTTTCCCACAAGGATGCATTTAATTGATCAAAACAGACAGTATAAGAACTTTTATAACATTACAGAAGATTTCTATTTCAAATAAATTCTGTTCTTTTTTAAATTAATTTTCTATTCAATTTTCTATTCATCAAATAATCCTGAGAAAATGCATAATGGATTTCACATAAATATGACGGAGCAAAAACATTGATAATGATCAGAAATGTTTCTTGAGCAGCAAATCAGCATATTAGAATGATTTCTGAAAGATCATGTGACACTGAAGACTGGAGTAATGATGCTGAAAAATCAGCTTTGTTCACAGGAATACATTAAATTTTTAAAACATATTCAAATAGAATACAGCTATTATAAATTGTATTAATATGACTATTTTTACTGTATTTTCATTAAATGAATGCATCCTTGGTGAGCATATAAGAGACGTAAAAAAAATAAAAAAATTCTATCCAATACCTTTTTGACAATATAAATGTATGTTATGCCATTTCTAAAAAAAAAAAAAAAAAACATACTGAATTTTGAATGGTAGTATATTTAAAAAATTATTTTTCATAAGTTATAAATAAAGAATATTACTGTATGTTTTTGCAAAAATACTATTTCAGACCTAAAAATGTCACGTTTAATTCAGTGTGATCTATGCCATTTCTTTGTAATAATTTGTAAAATTTTAAAGCAATTTCAGAGTGAAAATTGTTTCAAAGTAAATCCTACACCAATATTTTTTCATTATACTGTCAGTGTGTGTGTGCGTTTAGAAAAAGTGTGTTTGTGTGCGCATTTGTTGCAATTGTGTTTTGTTGATGTATGTCAAATCATTGGTATGTGTTTGAAGTACGTGTTTATTTGGTTAGGTGTGAGTTAGCCAACATGTGTGTGTGTGTGTGTGTGTATTTTGTGGGCGGTGGTATAAAGTTGATGAGAGAGACCTTTCCCCCCTCGCCTCAGTCTCACTCTTCCACCTACAGTTGTGTTTTTTCAGGCTTCGCACCAGAAGTAAACACTTAGTCCCGGCTTTTGTTGTGCATATGTGTGTGTATGTACGCGTTTGGCTCTCGTTTCTCGTGGTGAAATAGGAAAGCCCTTCCTTCACATTAAACCTAAATGTGAAATCTCAGGGCTTTTGATGTGCCCCTAAGGTTTTCTCATTCAAGCGGTTTTCAAAAGACATCCAATCCACAGGCCTGTGATCTCTAGGGTCAGGAAATGCTTCTAAAGGATTTTTTTATTTTTAACCCCATGTCCCCCTCTTCCCTTCTTAGAAACAAGGACGTCTATGAGCGGAAATATTCAACTTATAGCTGCTTTTCCTCTGTTCCCACCACAAAGTGCCATTAATGCTTTCATTGATAAGGCTGAAGAAAAAGGTCTTTGATGAAGACCAGAGGCTGACTATGGCTGTACAAAGCCAACCGTTTATTCCAGTGATGAATTTAACCACAGGAATCACACTTAACTAGCACTTCGATGTCAACAAGAGACCAATGTTTTTGTATTTATACAAGAGAATACTGAGTGGAGCTAGAAAAGGACAGTTTGTCAAGATTAACTTTGATATACAGGTGCATCTCAAAAAATTAGAATGTCGTGGAAAAGTTAATTTATTTCAGTAATTCAACTCAAATTGTGAAACTTGTGTATTAAATAAATTCAATGCACACAGACTGAAGTAGTTTAAGTCTTTGGTTCTTTTAATTGGGATGATTTTGGCTCACATTTCACAAAAACCCACCAATTCACTATCTCAACAAATTAGAATACTTCATAAGACCAATAAAAAAACATTTTTAGTGAATTGTTGGCCTTCTGGAAAGTATGTTCATTTACTGTACATGTACTCAATACCTGGTTGGGCCTCCTTTTGCATGAAATACTGCATCAGTGCAGCGTGGCATAGAGACAATCAGCCTGTGGCACTGCTCAGGTGTAATGGAAGCCCAGGTTGCTTTGATAGCGGCCTTCAGGTCATCTGCATTGTTGGGTCTGGTGTCTCTCATCTTCCTCTTGACAATACCCCATAGATTCTCTATGGGGTTCAGGTCAGGCAAGTTTGCAGGCCAATCAAGCACAGTAACACCATGGTCATTGAACCAGCTTTTGGTGCTTTTGGCAGTGTGGGCAGGTGCCAAGTCCTGCTGGAAAATGAAATCAGCATCTCCATAAAGCTTGTCAGCAGAAGGAAGCATGAAGTGCTCTAAAATTTCCTGGTAGATGGCTGCGTTGACTGTTTACTTCAGAAAACACAGTGAACCAACACCAGCAGATGACATGGCAACCCAAATCATCACTGACTGTGGAAACTTAACACTGGACTTCAAGCAACTTGGGCTATGAGCGTCTCCACCCTTCCCTGTATATATACTTTGTGGTAAGTAAGATTTTCTTATGTTTTTGAAAGACGTCTCTTTTGCACACCAAGGCTACATTTATTTGATCGCAAATACAGTAAAAATAGTAATATTGTGAAATATTATTTCAATTAAAAATAAGTGTTAAAATAACCCAGCAGGCACACAATGTCATAAGACGTTGATATTTGGTTACATTTTGTCATCATCATCGGGTAACCAAAATTCAATGTCAATTCAATGTCTAATGTTAATTTGATGTCCAATACTGACATCAGCTGACATTGATATTTGTTGTTTTTAGGTTGTGTAACCAAAATCCAACGTTAAGTCAAAGTCAAATTGGCGTCAAATACTGACGTCAACCCGATTATCATTCTCAACCAAAATGCAACATCTGCCCGACGTCATGTCCAACGTCAACTTGACGTTATATAGACGTCCTGTACCTGCTGGGAAATGTATTTGAATATATTTTAAAATGTAATTTATTCCTATGATAGTAAAGGTGAATTTCCAACAGCCATTACCTCAGTCTTCATTGTTACATCATCAAGTTTTATAGTGTTTTATTCTTATTTTTTCCCCTATCCATATAAAATCTACTCTATATCATCCATTTTTTTTGTCAAATATCTCAATATAATAAATTTATTAACAAATTCTCAAACCCCTTACCGGTAATATTTCATGAAAAACAGAATTAAACAAATCAAAATATATAATTAAAAACAGAAATTCATTTATTTATAATTTTGGGGCATTTTTATCATACTGAACCCAAACCTTTGAATAGTGTTGTGGATGGATGGATGAGTGGATGGCTGGATGGACGGATGAGTGGACGGCTGGATGGATGAGTGGATGGATGGCTGGATGGATGCATGAATGGCTGGATGGATGAGTGGATGGATGGCTGGATGGATGCATGGATGGCTGGATGGATGGATGGATGAGTGGATGGATGGATGGATGGGTGGATGGATGGATGGATGAATGGGTGGATGGCTGGATGGATGGGTGGATGGATGGATGGATGGCTGGATGGCTGGATGGATGGATGGATGAGTGGATGGATGGATGGGTGGATGGATGGATGGATGAATGGGTGGATGGCTGGATGGATGGGTGGATGGGTGGATGGATGGATGGATGGCTGGATGGCTGGATGGATGGATGGATGGATGGATGGCTGGCTGGCTGGATGGATGTGTGGATGGCTGGATGGATGGATGGGTGGATGGCTGGATGGATGGATGGGTGGATGGCTGGATGGATGGATGGATAGGTGGATGGATGGATTGAGTTGCATGGCTTGATGGATGGACGGAGGAATGGAAGGATGAACAAATGGATGGATTGATGGACAATTACTGGGGCAGTTTTTATCATACTGACCCCAAACCTTTGAACAGTATTGTGGATGGCTGGATGGATGGATTGATAGACTGATGGATAATTTCTGGGGCATTTTTGTCATACTAATCCCAAAACTTTGATCGGTATTGTGGATGGATGGATGGGTGGGTGAATTGACTGATGGATAGGTAGTTTTGTATGTGTATGTTAATCATCTGATTGTTTTCCTGTTTCTATGGCAGATGAACTTTGTGAAGGAGCAGTTTGGAGACACTCAGAGGGAATGGGTGCTGCTCGTATGTATCGGAGCGTCTTCTGGAGTCGGTCGACTGCTGTTTGGGAAGATCGGAGATCTCATACCTGGAGTAAAGAAAATCTACATGCAGGTACAGAAACCCAACAGGAGCTACTTACTGCTTGTCAGTTAATCATAATTCCATAGCTGGAGAATTTTCATGCTGTGTCACTATAAATTGGCATGAAAAAATTACAGGATACTCCTGCTGTGGTTAAGTGTCTCGCTTAAGGTCACACCGTTGATACATCACAGCAGCCCAATCAATGGCTTCAGTGTTTCTGAAGATCTGTGTGTTCTAAAAGTGGAACAAACTTTGAATAATTTTTTTTCTTTAGTTCTAGATTGACGTAAAAAAACATTTTTTTAGGTTTTCCTGTTTCTATGGCAGATGAACTTTGTGAAGGAGCAGTTTGGAGACACTCAGAGGGAATGGGTGCTGCTCGTATGTATCGGAGCGTCGTCTGGAGTCGGTCGACTGCTGTTTGGGAAGATCGGAGATCTCATACCTGGAGTAAAGAAAATCTACATGCAGGTACAGAAACCCAACAGGAGCTACTTACTGCTTGTCAGTTAATCATAATTCCATAGCTGGAGAATTTTCATGCTGTGTCACTATAAATTGGCATGAAAAAATTACAGGATACTCCTGCTGTGGTTAAGTGTCTCGCTTAAGGTCACACCGTTGATACATCACAGCAGCCCAATCAATGGCTTCAGTGTTTCTGAAGATCTGTGTGTTCTAAAAGTGGAACAAACTTTGAATAATTTTTTTTCTTTAGTTCTAGATTGACGTAAAAAAACATTTTTTTAAATTGATGTCATTATATAATAATTGTTTCCTGAAAGACAGCATGCTGTTTCATTCATTGCAATGCCGTTTCATTATCCTTTGCAATTTTGTTGCCAGGAAACTTCAATTGACAATATTTGCTTCTAAGGAATTGATTTTCAATGGCATTTTAATGTTTTATGAGAGTGAGTTTTTTTTAAATGAAAAAATGACTTCTACATCCAACAATAACAATAAAAATTGTTTGCCTGACTTGTTTAAAATATGACATAAATATAAATTTTGCAATTGTGCTTTCAAGAGCTTGTTCAGCATAGTTAAATTTTCCTGTGTGAACTGCATATTTCACAATCTATCAAAATCTAAAATTTTCCATGGTATTTTTATGTTGTTCCCCCTTAAAATTCAGATTCTGTTACCAGTACCATTCAGTTTTTTGTAAATAATTTTCAGAGGATCAGGAAATGGATTGCCGTCATGGTTATAATGGTGCGTTCAAGTCGTGTCGGATAAATCGTATTTACGAGTTGAACGCACATGAACGCCACCACAAAGTCGTTATTATGAGTGGGAAACTCTAAATTTTCTTTAAGCCCTGAGTTTATGAGATGGGGGCGTGTCAATGAGAAACATGGCGGAATCCATGGATGCAACGTCTATAGTTGACGGTAAATTTTTGTTTAAATTGATAGTTTAGTTGTCTTATAAACTTAAATTGGTCATGTTCTTGTTACGCAGCTAGTTAATGAAATCCGAGTAAAAAAAGCGCTATCATTTTTGCACCTATAGGTAAAAAATCTTTTGATATGCCATGTTGCATTTTTTTAAAATATTAAAAATGCAAAACACACCTAATGCGAATTCTTTGCTCTTCATTTTCTATAAGCAGAGTTAACAGACCCTGTTGTATTTTCTTGTAATTTATTGAAAGAAGGTACACCTCCATCTTGTGCCAACTAAACTGACTTGAATGCACCTGACGTCGTAATTACGACTTGTCAACTCGTAAGTACGAACGTCCCAGGAGGACTTGAACGCAGCATAATCTTAGATGTCAAACTTTGGATGTAGCGCAGCATTAGTCCATGTGCTTAGACGATCTCTGTGTGTCTGTATGTGTAGGTGGCATCGTTCATATTACTGGGTCTGATGTCAATGATGATACCTCAGTGCGCCGTGTTTGAAGGTCTGGTGGTGGTTTTCGTATTGATGGGTCTTTGTGATGGCTGTTTCATCACTATCATGGCCCCCATCGCCTTTGAGTTAGTAGGGCCCATGCAGGCGTCTCAAGCTATCGGCTACCTCCTTGGCCTCATGGCCATACCAATGACAGCGGGACCCCCGATCGCAGGTGAGAAGCTTCATCTTTGCAATAAAACATTTAACATTTGCTTGCTTGGAATGACAAATTTTTAGTTTTGGAACTTTGGAAATTTTTCCTTTAAATGCAATTTTAAATTATATTTTATAAGAAAAACATAGTATATAAAATACATTTTATATGTATTTCATGTATTTTATGTAAAAATGTATTTTTATATGGATGATGAATATTCAGTATATATATACATACATATTAAAAACATTTTCTTTTAATTACATTTTTAGTTTTTACTGAAAAATGTACACACATACACAAAACTTGTAGATAAATATGTTGAAACCATAATTTAATCAGCCAGCATGCTGATTTTGGCCGCGTTCCCCAGATAAGACTCACACACATACAACAGACTAAGTGTTTTTCCAGTTTCTGGTACGGTGGACAGGAATGAGATTTATTTCGGAGGGTAAATTCCAAGGTCTCCCTGTGAGCACATATAGTTTGGACTGTTGACTTAAATGCTCTTGTTCAGTGACGGTCTCCATATGTTTCCAGTTCCGCAGACTCGTTTTGAAGAATTAGACCCACCAGAACATCTGCTCCATCTGTACTCCAATAAATGAACCTTATACTTTCAGGTCTCAAGGTTCATTTACAGAATACATTACCTGTCTGAACTCTGGATCGATTTCAGGAAAGCAGAGTCTTCATTCGAGAACGTGATGCATCATTTGTAGGGTCTATTTTCAAAGCGTTGCCTTCACAGCAGGGGCATTAACACTAGGTTTGGATTGGCTGTCACATACTGTTATTTAGCATACTTGCGACCTGACTTCTAAATGTTTATTTAAGTTTCAAGTGATCTTATGTCTTCTGTAAAGGAGGCTGGGGAGCATCTTACCAAAGTCTTCAAAGTCTAAATAGCTCATAGTTGTTTTGCTTCAGATGTGTTCCAGACTGCAAGCCTCATTGAGATTCCTAGAGAAGGATTTTGAAATCGAGAGCATTTGAAGATGAATGTGACCGTCCTAGCGGGGAGTCTCCATTGAATTGGATCAGTTCCATTCGTTAGTCTTTTTATTTAAAGTCAACATGAAATCAAAACAGACTCCATTTACTTTCATCCAGGTCTTATTGTGAACAATGAGTGTATGTTATTCAATAGTAAATCTTTCTTGTTTTTTTTTATTTTAATTTTTAATTTTCACACACACACACAACAATTGGCAAAAGTGACTGATGTGCAAGAGATAAATTAAATAAATCATGTTCCAAGATTAAGAAATCAACACACATGATGCAAAAAAAAAAAATCCTCTTCAGGCTGAACTTCAGTGCCTGCACTTTTCCCTCATTGAATATTCTTTTTCACTTGGAAATACATCTTGCTACAGAAATGAACTGCGTTGTTAATGCTGTCTCATCTCTCAGATGTTCTTTCTCTATGTCTTGTCTCCTTTCTCAGGACTTCTTCATGACTATTTTGGAAACTACCACGTGGCGTTTTATCTGGCTGGTGTTCCTCCGATAGTGGGGGGTATTGTGATGTTTTTTGTACCTCTGGTGCACCAGCGCGTGCAAAGACGACGAAAAGAGGCCAACGACCCCAGCATGGACAAGATGTTGAAGAACTGCTCTAATGGAGACATGCTGCCCGGATACACAGACATGGAGACACACATATGAAGCCCACAGCCTCACAAAGGTAGTTTATGTTGCATCTTTATAGTATTTTTTTTGTTTTATATTTATTTAAATTAAATTTTTTTATTTATCTCAGGGTTTTGAATCCCAGATTTTTAACTTTTGGGCTCCAGTGTATAGTAAAGCAATAAGCCCCAAGAAGCCGTGGTTTACAGTGAATTTATAACAGCTAAGTTAGGCACGACACGAAGCGGAGTGCCTAAAACCCCCTTGGCTGTTATAAATTCACTGTAAACCATGGCTGCACGGTGCTTATTGCTTTTATAAAATGGCTATTCCATATACGTAGTAAGGTTTCACAAAATAAAACGGAGCAAATAAAGTGTAATGATATTAATTAAAACAGTATTCTTCCACCAAACAATGTAGTTCCTCAGAATCAGTTGTGGTTGCAACAAAGTGGTTGCGAAGCAACACACAAACGTAAACAAAGGTGTATGTTTGTAGAGTAATTTACAACAGCTTCGAACGTGGCTCAGCCAATCAGAATCAAGGACCGGAACTCTCCGTTTTATAAAAAATGAAATAAAAATTTCATTCATGCTTAGAAATTGTTATGGTTTGTGATTTTTGCTTTTCGACAAATATAGTCGAATAATAATATATATTATTACATCCAAGTATAAATTTCAATAGGTTAGTGTTTTTAAGCATTCTACATTCATTCCAAAATAATAACTCAAGGCAGTAATCATTGTAAACAATATATTTGTGAGCTTATGTTCAGCTATTCTTTTTAATAGTGAACTTTTAACTATTTTTAAATTTTTTGGGATCATCAGTCATCAAAACACGGTAAATATTGGTCAGACAGAGATTTACTTTAAATTTCACCAAGCTGACAAAAAATGCAAGTTTCATGCATACATTGAAATTTTTATGGTTTGAGATTTTCTCTTTTGTCTCGCAAAAAAAATATTTTGGACCCTGACTGTGTGTGGACATCTAGGATTAAATTTCTGCCATCTAGTATAGATAAAGGGTTACTCAAGCTTAATATTTGATGTGCGACATGAAAAACTGGCAAGCCAGCTGAGTATGTGACGTCTGTTGTTTCTCTGTCTTTCTGCAGGGATTCATCTCACCAGCACTGCTTGTGGCGTGTGTACGTGAGTGTGTGTCAAGATGGTGTGTGATGTATTTCCTCTTTGCTTGGCTCTAATCAAACTCGAGGTCTCAAGGCTTTCCCCCCTGCTCGTTTGCTGTTCTGGAGAGGAGACATGATCATCCATCAAGAGCCCAAACCCTCCTCCAGTGGCCCGCGCTGCTGTTTCCACCGGCTCCCGAGTGATTGAACAACATCTGCATGCAGATTTGGCGAAATCACCTCCTGCTCACGTTTCTCACGAGAATCTGAACGGAGAGCTCAGGTAGTGCAGGAGCCGTCAGTTAAATTAGGATAGCAAACGTTTTAGCACCTTTATAAAGGAAACTTCAATTTGATGTGAGAGAGTAGCATTACCAGCACAGAGAAAAGTGCTGTTTTCATCGAGCTTGATAGTTTATTGTCGAGATTATGCAAATCAGATTTGTAAGCTTTAGATGTTTTCATAATACGATTTTTTTAAAATCCTCCATGGAATTGATTTCGGAAACATTTATGAGACAAATCCGTCTTTCTTCTTGCACTTTCTGCTACGACTTTGATAACCTCAGCCGTGATTTTCTTATCATAACATACCGCAGCCGTGCATCGCTTATGAATTATGAAAAAGCTAATCCTCTGTCCTTAATAATATCCGCTAAATTTAGTTCAGTAATCAGATGCAGAAAGGAGTTCACAAACTGTGCCATGACCATTGAGACAGATGAAAACTAAAGGATCAATATTCATAAAAGGGGTGAATCTTGTGAAAAATGCCAAAGGAAAATAAATAGAAATGATATTTTGCATTAATATATATATTGTTTTGCTTTTTAGTTTTATAACAATATGCACATTTCCACCAAATTTATATAATGCGAAAAACAATCTTGTTCATCGTCACAATACAGTAAAATAATCAAATCCAGACACATAAATCAGTATAAAATACCACAATGTAAAAAAAAAATCAAAGCTGTAAATTAAACTTTATTGGAGATTATTGGAGTTTTTACAAGAAAATATTATTTCAGTCTTAATTGCACAATTAATTCATTTTGGTACTTGTTGCAAAGTATTATTTGTGAAATTTACTAGCAATTTCTGAGTGAAAATTGTTTTAAAGTAAATCCTACATCTTTTATTTCAGTCCACCATTTATGCAAAATATCATTTCTTATTTTTGGGGTAAAATATGACCTAGATATTTCTTGACAATTTTTCTGAGATCCACTCAAGGACAAAATCACTACATCATCTATTTTTTTATATATATATATGTCTTTTTTTCCACATTTGACTCCCGTTTATTGTATTTTTTAAAGAAATTATATTTTGGTTATATGTGTTGTGTCTGGTTTGTTATGTTAAAAACAAATCTGGCATTTGAAATCGAGTGGAATGGACTTACGAAGACAATCAAAGCACGATCTGAATTGAATGACGACACTATAAAAATGTCACATCTGTGATTCTGTTTAAGAATGGAAAGAACTGATTGCTGTAAGCAAAACAGCATAGTATTACACAAAGTGGGCCATGTTTTTGAGCATTAATCGATTACTATGTGACATCTGAAGCTGTGCTTATTCTTTTTGATAATTTGTGTTTTTGTATCAGTCGATTATATTAACATGTCTCACATGTTTAGTGAGAGCAGCTTTTCCTGAGTCTCTTCCAAAAACTAGTGAGCTGAAACAATTCAGCCAAGAGAAATATTGATGATACATTAAAAATAGTTCAGTTTGATTAAAAATAGACTATTTTAACCTACATTTGTGTGTGCATGCTTATTAGAGTGACTTGCTAGCATCTAACTATTGAAATCAATTACTATTACTATTTGCCTATGTAGAGCGTTTGTAGGGTTAGGATGCTAATTCATGGCGTAGACATCAAGGCAGCGCACTAGTATTTGGAACAGAGCTGTAGTTTCTCTCTGCACTTTCATCTGTCTATTTGTCAACTATTTCCCAGAAGCCCTTTAACCACCAGTTTCTGTCATGTTGTCATGGAGACATGTCCGTATGAGCTAATTAACGTTGTTTCTGGTACATTTTCCTCAGAACTCATTAGATGGCCTGTTTAAAACAAAAGATGGTCACGATCTTAACCAAACTGCCTCAACCGACCCCGTCCTGCAGGTTTAACCAGGAGACGGCACTTTTACACTAAAGCAACTAGACCACAAGACACCTCTTTGGGTTCTAGGACTGTGTGATGATGTTGTGTGGTGACTAAAGATGCTTGTTTTCGAAGAATCGATGTCTTTATAGGAAAAAGACGAAATTCGTGCATACCTCAGACGCCTGTTTTATGGGTTCATACTGATAAATATTAGACCCTGGTGCACTTAGTCGTATTGGTTTGCCTCCTACAGTGCTTTGTGCAGATTCATGGACTGCAGTGTGAATCTTTGAGCCTCAAAGCCATGGTTCCTGTCATTTATGTCTCTCTACCTGATCTGCATGTGATTATCGGTGCTCATCACATATAGCAGGCCCTGCAAATGAATCCTCATCCAAATGATCATCCTTCCTTAGAGTTTTGGTCGTGCCATTTCTGACTGAGAGGGATGTGTTTTATATGCGTGAGGGACGAAGAATGAGAGAGACAGACACATTTAGACTTGTAGAAACTCAGGGAGTGCAGACGTTTTTCATTTTTCATCACCCGTCTGCATATTATTGCACGCTGGATTCATAAATCTGTTATACAACACATTTTATTAATAAAGGCATTGGAGTCTGAATAGGTGAATTGGGTGAATCTCAAGAGAAAACACACACACACACACACACACACACACACACACATACGTAATATATATATATATACATGCATAAGTATATGCATTGTGAAATGTGACCCTGGACCGCAAAACCATTCATAAGGGTCAATTTTTCAAAATTGAGATTTATACATCATCTGAAAGCTATAGATAATATATAATAATATATTATATTTATTTAATTTATAATAATATAAATTAAATAAATAAGCTTTCCATTGATGGATGGTTTGTTAGGATAAGACAATATTTGGCCGAGATACAACTATTTGAAAATCTGGAATCTGAGGGTGCAAAAAAAAATCTAAATATTGAGAAAATCGCCTTTAAAGTTGTCCAAATGAAGTTCTTAGCAATGCATATTACTAATCAAAAATAAAGTTTTAATATATTTGCTTAAATTAAATTTACTAAATATCTTCATGGAACATGATTTTTGGCATAAAAGAAAAATCTATAATTTTGACCCATACAATGTATTTTTGGCTATTGCTACAAATATACCCCAGCGACTTAAGACTGCTTTTGTGGTCCAGGGTCACATATGGTCAAGAACATTAAAATCTGCATAAAGGCAGTACTACAACTAATATGTACAACTAATATGACTTTTCACATTACATTAATCAGATGGGGTTTTTTTGCATTACAGTAATAATAATAGTGCAGGAAAATGCTTAATTTATGAAAATGTCATAATGCAAAATAATTGAGTAAAATTCACACACATTACAGATGTTCTTGTCATAGATACAGACTCCCGCAGTCTGACTCACGCCGCTTGTGTCTTCCACTAATCATTTTGTCCAGTTTCTGCCAAATTTGTATGTAGGGACTGTGGTTTGTCTGTCTGTCTCTCTCTTGTCTTTTATTCTGGTTTTGCTTTTAATTAAAGTCAGTGCAAAATTCACCCTATTTACTTTTTGAATATGTAAGTTGACTTGGCATTTTACACTTTTGGCTTTAGGGATAACTCATTTTTATTTTTTAACCTTGCCCAACCACTCTGATATGTAAATCTACTTATGATTCAATTTCATGATAATTTTTTTTCCTTTTAAATTTTTCCCCCCCCTAGCCTGATTCTCTCACTGACCTCACTCTCAAATATTTCACAATGGCTGTTTTCCTACCAAAATAATGATTTAACTTTTTCTTACCTCACATCACTGCCTTCTTGTCCCGTCCACTTGCTGCATTTTTATTTCAAAATGCAGTTCAATGTAAAGGCCAGATAATCTATTTACTGTATTTATTTGTTTGTGTTCCTGCATATTGCAGAAGGAATTTAATCTAGGGGACGCAATCAACTTTATTTTTCTGTAAATGTTGAACTGGTGCGTAAACATAGTAAAGGTCTCTTTAGCTTTCGGATCAATACTTCAGACCGCTCTCTGCCCTTTCTGATGTACCATGTGCCTGCACACAAAATACTCTAAACTACATTTACACCAGGCTTCTCAATTATATCGTTTACAGTTGTCAACACAACAAAAACTGTACTTACGTTTAAGTACATTTCTCATATATATGCACTCTAGGGGTCGGTGGAAGGGTGAAGCGCTTTGACCTCTTGTGTCTGGAGAGTGTCTGTCCCGCAAACTTACAAAATCAGCAGGGGATCAAATAATTATTTTCCCCACTGTATATACGCTACCTTAGTCATCAAATGGAGGCTAGACGAAAAGAAAATGCCAGCGAAACTTTTCTGAAGACAGCTAGTCTCTCATAGCCAAAACTTTCAGACTGAGGGCAGAAAGTCTGAGAGCATGACCGCTTTGAATGGCCAAGGCCCGCCCAAGAGGCCATATGACTGACAGGTAATTCAACCAATCACGTTTCATTTTGTGCATTAGGAGCATATGTCCCTAAAATAACAGAACGATGTGTAAAACTCTTGGATATATTTTAAAGAGTCTTTATACACATATAAGCGCTTTCTTTCACGAGGTTTGCTGTCACTGCATCTGTTTCCAGGTGGAACGTTAAAGAACACAACACGGTTCTCCCAGAAAAACTGTAGAACTCAACTAATCAGATGAGGAGAGGACTTATAAACTCCTGAAGTGTTTCCATATGCATAATGCATTAGACATTCAGTCAACGGTCGGTGGCTGAGACTAGAAGACAGCTAGTTCCCTTGAGATATACATTCATATAAATCCCCCAAATAAAAACTCATCAGATTTGCACAAATCATCTTATTAATGGCCTATTTCAGTGTCAGCACGGCTAATAATATTAATACTTAATATCCTAATGATTTTTGGCATAAAAGAAAAATCGATAATTTTGACCCATACAGTGTATTGTTGGCTATTGCTACAAATATACCCATGCTTATGACTGGTCTTGTGCTCCAGGGTCACAATAAGCTTAAAATTAGTTTGAAATGAAATAAGATTAAAATGAAATGAGGTTACACAGTTACAGGTTTGTCTTCAGTAGCTGTGAGGGCCGGAGGCGCGGAGGTGTAATGACACCACTAAACCTCTAGAGGGCGCACACTGTCTAAATTCAAAATCACTCACCAGCGCCTCAGTGACTGAGTGGGCTTCGGTTTAGCCCACTGATCTATAATAGATCAGTGGTTTAGCCCCTGATTAAGATCAAATTACATATCCAGATATGGGAGCTGAACAAGTACAGTGAACGTAGCTTGATATTTAAAAAAAAAAAATTTAAAATTAAGCACATGGCCCAGGTTGTAACAGACAGTCAATTTTCTTTTTCATTATAAAATCATTCGGTACTAATAGTTACCTTTGATGATAAAATTCGTCGACTCCCGTCTTACCTTCCGACGATTTGCAGAATTGTCAGGAATTTCTCCTTTTAAGAGAAATTCTTGAAGCTGCATGGGCCCAGATTACTTTTAATAGCTAGGCCTACTCTCTTTAGCGCCTGGTTACAATTCCAACAAAATCGTGTTATGATAAATGCTGTTTTAATTACGTTATAATGACCATTAATGTCTGTATTAGTTAGCTTATGTACTAGGATAGCATACATATACCCGATTAGCCTTATAACTTAGTTTATACAGGAATTTGCACTCATCCTACATGTATTCACATCTATTTTTTATTTAATTACGTGTTAAATTAAGTGTTCAATGTCCAAAGTTTTATTTTATAAATAAAACAAATTAATGATGTTATTCACTTAAAATGGTATTATTAGTTTTATGTATTAATTAGCAGTTTTGGGGGTAACGCATTACAAGTAACGAGAGTTACGTAATCAGATTACTTTTTTCAAGTAACTAGTAAAGTAACGCATTACTTTTTTAATTTACAAGAAAATATCCGAGTTACTTTTTCAAAAAAGTAATGCAAGTTACTTTTTTTTCAAATTTATTGATTGAGAGCTCTCCTGTCCCCATGTTGAGAGAAATCAGAAGATGTTACTGTAGTTCAAAAATAAATATGAATATGCATTAATTCATCTCCCTCACAAAAAAACACAGATTCAGTATTCCTCAAAATGAATAAAAATAATGCAACTCAGAATATGACACAAACCTGCAATAATTAAATATTAAACAACACAAATATCCTTTATGTATTTAATCCCATTCTATTAACCAATGTCTTTGCTTCTGACCTTCGATGATCCAGTTCAATCGTACTAATAAGCACAAATTACTCTAGACAAACAGTCGTGTGTCTTTTTTTATTGCTGAAGTGTGTTGAAATGTCTTCTTCTGTATTCTACTGTACGGACGTAAATGTACTTTCCCTTCAGCCTGAAGCGTATTCATTTCACTTTTGCTATGAAAAGGCTTTTATATTTGCCAAAAATACAACTTTTTTATTTTAAAAACAAACAAGCAAGCCCTGTCCAGATTTAAAAAGTAACGCAAAAGTAACGTAACGCATTACTTTCCATAAAAAGTAACTAAGTAACGTAATTAGTTACTTCTTTATGGAGTAACACAATATTGTAATGCATTACTTTTAAAAGTAACTTTCCCCAACACTGTTAATTAGCAGGAAATCAAGTGTATATTCCAGAATGGCGAAACCAATCCAGCAGTCACACACATGGAAACTCCCCCTGCTTGTGTTTTATGTGTTGCGTGCTGGCAGAGTAAAATGGTGGGGACGGTTGCAACATGGCTTATTTCTTCAATCAGGAATGAGCTAAAGTGATGATATTCATACTACACATGCTCAAGCAGCCCCTCATCCTTCCTGGATGAAATCAGGCACATGTGACCGTTCCTTCTACAAATAACAATTTTCATGGTAAAAAAAGTATTTTTTTTAATCATCAGATTTTTGTCATACTGTCTAAGTGTCACGAATTCGGTCCATGGACTTCCGTTTATTCACCACCACAGGTCACCCTTTCCATTACATTGACTCACGCACAACACAAACTGTTGCATAGCACCCCGGACTACATATCCCATCATTCTTTGCACGATTTGCACACTGCACTGATTGCACTCATTGCACACAGCTGTTTCTAATCACCTCACTCACTATATAACACCCACTCTAACCACCTTTCTCGGCTGAGTATTGTTTAGCCTGTACCCCTTTCCGAGTCTCCGTGTTTTCCTTGTTTTGCCTTGCCTGTTTTTGCGGTTTCTGATCTTTGCCTGTTTTCCTGGATTTCTCCCTCTCGTCTCGCCCCTGTGATTCTGTCTGCCGATCGGTGACCTACGCTAGCCCTAGGACTATTCTTGTGTTTTTGCCCGCCATATACCTGTTTGCCATTGTTCGACCCTGCCTGTTACACCACGTCTCTTTTAATAAAAGCTTGCAGATGGATCCACACGTCTCACGTCTCGTCAGCCCCGTTACACTAAGTTGTTTGCAGTGAAGCATTGTGAAATAAATGATTTATATCAGTGTTTTCTTAACTTCTAATAGGCATAGTTAGCATGTGTCAAAGATATTGTGTCAAGCTAATATACCAAGTTTTGTCAGGGCTGTCAGTGTGGGGACAGTTGCAACACATTGTTGCAACCGTTCCAACATGCTGTCCCTTACCACAACATTGATGTAAAAGCTTGCCATAACATTACATAATTATATGGATTAATAAAGAACCCCTTTCAATAGTTAGGTATTTCTACTTTTTTAAGTAAAAGTGGACTCATTTCAAAAGTGGACTCAAGTAAGTTCCATAAAATGGTAGATTTGTCTAATTTGAATTTTAAAAAAGTAAGACTGATTACCACTGTTATGAACAGCTGCTAGCTGGTCAAACTAGTTCTTAAGACGGTCTTACGATAGTGGCTATGTTTATGCAATGGCCTCAGTTCAGTAACCTTTCACATATGTTAACAGAAGCAGGCTATTATTACATTTCAGTGTCTTGACTCTGATTAAATTAATATTTTGTAGTTCAAATGTATTGTAATAATTAATCAAGACATGGTTGTTACTTGAAAATGTCCCCCATTTACTATTCTTTGGTTTTTATACAGCCAATTTAACTTATTAAAGAGTAGACCATGTCGATGCACAAATAAAATAAAGAAATTGCAAAATGATATTTAAGAATTGTTTTAATTACATTTTAATGAATGTTGCAACTGCCCCTGTGGACTGTTGCAACCGTCCCCTGTTGTGGGGTCAGTTGCAACATTTGACTTTGTCTATTCAAGTATAAATTGTATGTATATAATCATATGTGCACATGTTACAGCAATGTGGGTGAGTAGCTGACTGATGTGGCTTTATTGTAATATAATTCTGGCTTTCTAATGCAAACAGTCTCTGAGAAACTAAAGCAAATGCAAAAAGTGTTGCAACCATCCCCACTCTCCCCTAATGAATTCATTCCGAGCACATATAGTCAGTTTTATGATGTATATCTGCCGCTGAGTGGATTTCCACATGAAGAGCAAACCGCATTACCTCGGAATCTATAATGAAATTCACTATTACAGCCCTCTGTGTCATTCACTTTTTCTCGGTTCTTCATCTTCTTCCTCTTTTATACTCTTGATATTTTCATATCTTGTTAAGTAAGTAAACAGAACTCTTTCAAATAAGTTTCAAAATAAATTTCCATGTAACGTTATATGGATATCTTACCATGGAAAGCATGAGTTGCACTTTTAACTTTTTTAACAGTTTGTCACCTCTCACTAATCTGATTTTTAATTTAAGTAATACAATACACTAATGTAATGTCTACACACACACACATTGTGTTTCCATGTTTTATGGGGACATTCCATCTGTGTAATATTTTTAAACTGTACAAACTGTATTTTCTATCGCTCTACACCTAAATCTACCCCTCACAGGAAACTTTCTGCATTTTTAGACTTTCAAAAAACTTATTTTTATAAGCTTTATAAGTTTGTTTCCTCATGAGGACCTAAAAAATGTCCCCACAAGGACAACATTTACTGATATTACTATCCTTGTGGGAACATTTGGTCCCCATAATGTGATAAATACCATGTACACACACACACACACACACACACACACCAAACAACGGAAATACCAAGACACAGTCTGAATTCATTACAGAAGCACAAGGGACCAATTTACATGCCAGTAAGGTTTACGATATTATTTCCAGATCTGTTTTATGAGGCTAGCAAATTCCTTGCAAATATTAAGCAAATACAACCTGATCATGTGGACATATATGGCAATGCGTGGCCTGCATCCTTCTTATTTTTGTTTAAACTTAAGAGCTGGGCAGCCATTTGTAACTTAAATTAGCGAGACTTTCCTCCATAAAACATGAAGGAAAATTTACAGCTCATTTAGTTAAACTTTCATATAAAGTACACACACACACACACACACACACACCAAACAACGGAAATACCAAGACACAGTCTGAATTCATTACAGAAGCACAAGGGATCAATTTACATGCCAGTAAGGTTTACGATATTATTTCCAGATCTGTTTTATGAGGCTAGCAAATTCCTTGCAAATATTAAGCAAATACAACCTGATCATGTGGACATATATGGCAATGCGTGGCCTGCATCCTTCTTATTTTTGTTTAAACTTAAGAGCTGGGCAGCCATTTGTAACTTAAATTAGCGAGACTTTCCTCCATAAAACATGAAGGAAAATTTACAGCTCATTTAGTTAAACTTTCATATAAAGATTTGTAGTGCAGCATTATGATTTGAAATGATTGCAATCTCTTAAAGTGGAACATCCCTTAAACCGGAAGGGGCTCCCATAATTTAAAACGCAGCAGGCTCGCTAGGAAAAAATAGCAGGTAACAGATGACAGGATTGCAGTTGTAAAGAGATGAAGTGTGTAAGACATCAAATCACCGTCTGCCTTTTTAAATGTGTTACTCAGAGCGTCTGTGCCCGCGGATTCAACCGATTTAGTCACTGTTGACTACTGAAACAGCACCAAAACCCATTTTTATATGCCTATGTTGGAGTATGTCGGTAGGAAACAGTAGTAACAGCGTTATTTAATCCATTACTGAGGGCAGTTTTACTCACAGTTAAATAATTGAGTCATGTTTCTTCCGTTCCAGTGATGCTGGTAAAGGCATGAAGAATGACATTCTGAGTCACTGTCAGAATGAGCTCAACATGTGCTGTCCTACTATGAGATCAATGAAGAGTAAAGCAGATGCTGGCATCTCCACAGAAAAGGTAGGCTTAAAGGTATAGTTCACCTAAAGATGAAAATTCTGTCAATAATTAACGTCATTCCAAACCCGTAAGACCTTCATTCATCTGCAGAAACACAAATTAAGATATTTTTGATGAAACCCGAGAGCTTTCTGACCCTGCATAGACATCAACGCAACTACCACATTCAAGGCCCAGAAAGATAGTAAGGACATCGTTAAAATAGTCCATGTGATCTCAGTGGTTTCTTGAAGCTACGAGAATAATTTTTGTGTGCAAAGAAAGCAAAAATAATGACTTTATTCAACAATTTCTTCTCTTCCGTGTCAGTTGATGTGTGTTCACAAGAGTACACAAGAGACGCAGATGTGCATTTTAAAAAGGAATATTTAAATGAATAAGTCTACTGAAAAGTAAAAAAATACAGACAAACATATACTAAAAAACAATTAAATAGAGACTAATTTTTATTATACTATATTTTATTTATTAATTTATTATTATAAAAGAGAAACACATCCAATCAACTAGAATAATTTTATGCAATAACAAAAGAATATAATATAATATAATATGATATAATATAATATAAAGAAATTAGCATTTTTAAAAGAATATTTAAATGTATAGGCCTATTGAAAAGTCTAAAAATGAAGATAAGCACTCTAAAATAAATAAATAGATACTTTAAAAATAGAGAGAACTTAGCTTTACATTTTACTTCAACAAAATGGTTGGTTTGAACTTTTTTTTTATTTGAAAAACTTCCCAAAGTTGGAGGATACAATGCAGAACAAAATACAAGGCATCACTATAATGTAAAGTAACATAAACAATACAGAAACAATAAATACATATGCAAAATTCAGATTTCGTATTTGAACAGAAACAATGGTGACATAGCATGTACATGACTGATCTGTTAAGCATTATGCAGTAATGTTTTGTAATGACCTAATGAAAGAAATGAAAGTTAGTGAAGTTGCTTCCAATCATGTGTTTGTTCCTCAGCAGCAGTGTTTGTCTTTGATGAGATAACAGGTGACACAATAGGTCACAGACTTCTTTCAGAGTCAGGCCTTCGTTTTCCCTCCAAGCTAAACACATCCCCAGAGCACTTCCTGTCAAACAGGAACTGATAGTACGCTGCATTTTTATCTCGGCCAGAACATGAAAATGCTATCGTATTCCTGTGGACCTCTTCATCCCACCCTTCGCCTGCAAGTCTGTTTGCTTCTCTGTTCCTTGTCTTTCCGCATGCAGAATTGTGATGTGACCGTGAACAATAAACCACATTTCATTAATCTGCATCGCCAGTAATTTCACACATTTTATAAAGACTTTGTGTGTGCGTGTGCATAAATGTGCGCGTTTTGATGAAGAAGCAGATGTTATAGTCATAAATAATAATAAGAATGCTGTATGCCAGATGTTGAAAACCGATTCACTGACTTTTACTGGCAAAACACCAAAAGGGAAGAAAACAGTCTGTGAAAGAATAATATTTGTCAAAGAAACACAAAGCACAAAGACGCTGGGAAAATCAAGGCATTTTCATAGTCTTTTTATTTCCACAATTAAACATTAAATATTTGAAAAAAAGAATAATCTCCCTCCTGTTTCACAGTGCAAAATACAAAAGTACATCATATGGCGGATTCCGTAGTTATTCCAGTCCAGAATATACAAACATCTAATAACCAAACAAACAATCTTCTGTGAGTTTTGATATGCAAGGGTACATTTATTAGAAAAATAGATATTGGTTGTTTATTTCCTATAATAATAATTATAATGTCTCAAAAGCAGACAGTAAAATGAGCAGAGTACTGATCAGAACACTTAGAACATACAACCAACCAGATTCAAAACACATAAATCATCATATCACATGACAAAAACCTGTTCTAGAGATAAACCTATGTAGTGCTTATGTGGGCTCTGTTCAAAGCCAAAGTGAGCTGCCTACCTAGACAGCATTTTTAGGCATCATAGGCAGTCTCCCAGCTGACAAGTGCACAAAACCACTCTAAAACCACCAGACCGGCCTAGCAGATCAGTCACATACTATGATGCAAACGTATAGTTTGGAACAGAGCCGTGTGGTTTTTAGACGTTTAGACAAAGTCTTTCAACCACAATGGATCGATCTCACTTTCTCTCAAAGGGCTGGTTGAGTGTCACAGCCCAAAAGCTCCAGCCGCAGGGCAATATCGTTGACCCAGCCTTTCGGGTGAATCCGTATAAAGCGAGCGAACAGGGGAGGATCAAACACGTTCAGCGCCTCTTCATCATGCTCGCTGTTTCCCTCAAAGATCTACATCAGGAGGAAAAAGAAACAAAACACCCATCAAGAACATGTGCAGGTCATATTTCACCCCAAAATCAAAATGAAAGAAAGAAAGAAAGAAAGAATCATATTGATTATATTTGATTCTTATGATAAAATTAAACCTATCTTAGGGCTATCACATTTTTTTGCCTAATGTACTTAATTGGCAGTTAATTTGGTCTCTAACCAATCCTCCATTAATTTTATTATGTACATAAAAATGCACATACATTTGAATTTTGTGGGGAAATGTGCTTAATTGTCAAGAAAATAATGCCCTAATGCAAAAAAAAAAACTTAATTAAACCTTTACTTCCTTTATGGAAAAATTAAGTTTTGTTATTTTTGAGTGAAATACAACTTGGACTTGTTTTTCGTGAGGCAAAATCTGTTTGGTATCATTCATTACACACAAATATAGCAGTACCTTTTCACTGTCTGTGCCCTGCTCCTTCACACTGGACCATTTGTGACCATCATTGCTAATAGAGACGGTAAATTCAGTGACTATCATTGGTTTCAGGATAGATCGAGCCCCCTGTGTGACCACCCCGGTCACTCTCTTCACAGAGAGAAAGTCCACCTGTAACCACTCATGAGGGTTATTAGTCTGCAGAACCAGAGAAGAAGAGAGGGGAGACAGAAGGAGACAAAATATAATATGATCAGTTTAACAATTTTTTACACCCATGTGCAGAATGAATGTGGATAAATCTACCAACAAATGGATAATTTTTCTTACAGCATCCTAATGACTTATAATTTCTAAGCATATTGTTTAAAAAAAATGACACTTCCCCTTTAAAGGGGGGGGGGGGTACAATGCGGTTTCATGCATTCAGAGTTGTTTACACTGTTAAAGAGTTGGATTCTCATGCTAAGCATGGACAAAGTTCAAAAAACAATTTGGACGTATGACACAGTACTTCTGTGCCAAAAATCTTACTTCCGGGTTCGTACAAGTTTCTGAGAGTTTTTTTCGATCATGGCTCTTCATGACGTAGACGAGGGTGGAACTCCTTATATGGGCATTTCTCCCGGAAGAGCGCTCACGCGCACGCATCGACCAGAGCTAGAGGAGATCGCGCCCATCAACTAGCTTCATCCGGCGGCAGCGCTGCATGGGACTTGCTCAGGAAGAATGTCTCCAAAGAAGTGTGTTTTTGGTTGTAAGGGAAAGATAACTTTGTTCAGCTTCCTAAAGAACCCAGCGTTATGTAAACAGTGGATACGGTTTGTTTTTCGGGGGCAGCTATGGAGTTTCACAAGTGTGTTTTTTGACGAACGTTTTATAAACAAGGCCCAGTTCGACGCTGGATTTGCACATCGTTTGATACTGAAAGATGGAGCAGTCCCAGCTATAAAAGATCCTGGTCATGATTCAGAACTGCAGACGGTAAAGCCGAGTTTACACTGCACGATTTTAGCCCGATTTTTCACTCGCCGATAGGTTTTGCAAAATTGCCGACAAATGCCCGAAATCGGAGGCAAATCGGTGCTCATTCACGCGAGTGACAATCACGCAGTGTGAATGATCAAAGACGCGATCTGAGGGAATTGCCGACACGTTGCCGACGCCCGTGAAATATTTGGCATGCTAAATATCTGGAGCTGTCGGCGATTCACAATCACGCTGTGTGAAATGAGTTCTGACTGAAAAACACATCGGCTATGACCTACAGCCAATGAGAGACCAAGATACAGGGCAGAGGGAAGTTCGGGGAGGAGTTATATGAAACGTAGTTTGCGGACCAGTGTTGCCAAATCCGTGATTACCACCGGTTGTTTTTAATGTCAGCAGGTTGAAGCGACCACAATAACTGATATTTAGGCCCTGGAATGTGAATTATACCAGGAGAACCCCCTGAACGTGATTTTTACTGGGGGACCCCCTCGAAAGCAATTGGGCTATTTTCAGGCTAGTTTTGAGTAGTAATTGGGCGGGTTTTGTAGCGAAAACCTGGCGACCCTGCACCAGACAGAGTTATAGGTGATTCTCCCTATTGTAAATTCATGCAGTGTGTAACCTCCTGTCGTCATTCCATCGTGCAGTGTGAACACAGAAACAACTGAATGCTACCCCAGATAGTCGTTCAATGTGTAATCAACAGTGATGCGACGTCTTTGAAAATCGTGCAGTGTGAACTCGGCATAAGTGAAACTGCATCAAATCTCTGTTTTGTTGGCATTCGGCGCCCAAGTGCTCGTCACTCTTTAGCTCCGCCCATGGCGTGCCTCCAGGAGCTCGGTTTTTTCCAGAGAGAATCGTAAAGCTGTATCTTTCCTTTATAAATATGATAAAACTAAAGACTTTTTGGAGATATGAAGAATGCAGTACTACTCTATAGGTACTCAAGATTAACATGAGATTGGGTGAAACTGTGTGTGTTATGCCCCCTTTAAAAAGCACTGATTTCTGCAGGTATAAATTGAAAGTTATTGTGCAGAACAGAATTCCATGTGGAAAGGAGCTGTGCTCTAAATCACTCTAATTAACTCGTAAATCCACCTGACTGACAGCGCTTGGCTGTCTGTGCAGCTCAAAGAGGAAGTAGAAAGAGCGATAGAGAGAGTGAGACAATGGAGGGATCACCTCGCTTTAACACTGACAGACAGGATAGAGGAAACACTCTCACAATGGGCTTATAAAACACACAGTGTAGAAAGAAAATTCACTTTCACTCTCTCTAAGAACAACATACAGTGATTGAATAGATAGACAGACAGACAGGTAGACAGATGGAGGGACGGATAGATAGACAGATGGAGGGATGGATAGATAGACAGATGGAGGGACAGATAGATAAATAGATAGATAGATAGATAGATAGATAGATAGATAGATAGATAGATAGATAGATAGATAGATAGATAGATAGATACCTTGGGTCTCCATGCATTTGCTTGCCCCTCCTGGTGGAGTCTAGCGAGGTCGGGACTCCGGGACTCTAACCACTTGTTTAAGAATGAGGAGGCACTGATGCTGCTGCTGGGAATCAACCTGCGCTCCATTCCCAGCGGCATATCACCTCGCTTTAACACTGACAGACAGAATAGAGGAAACACTCTCACAATGGGCTTATAAAACACACAGTGTAGAAAGAAAATTCACTTTCACTCTCTCTAAGAACAACATACAGTGATTGAATAGATAGACAGACAGACAGGTAGACAGATGGAGGGACGGATAGATAGACAGATGGAGGGATGGATAGATGGACAGATAGATAGATAGATAGATAGATAGATAGATAGATAGATAGATAGATAGATAGATAGATAGATAGATAGATAGATAGATAGATAGATAGATACCTTGGGTCTCCATGCATTTGCTTGCCCCTCCTGGTGGAGTCTAGCGAGGTCGGGACTCCAGGACAGTAACCACTTGTTTAAGAATGAGGAGGCACTGATGCTGCTGCTGGGAATCAACCTGCGCTCCATTCCCAGCGGCATAGAACAACCTGACAAACACACAAACAAACATGCTTTTATCTGTTTGAAGCAGTGATTTTACTACCATTTTTCTATTTTAATTTTAATTTTCATTAACGCTTTAGTAATTTTGTTGTGCATTTTGTCCTTTTTTATTTATATACTGTATATATTTTTTTTACAACTTTTTCCTTAAAATATATTATCACAATAAAAGTGTCAGGCTTAAACTAAAAGACATGTACTCTCCAGTAACAGTGATTTAGATTTTTTTTTCTCAAATAAAGTCTGACTCAAATAGAGTCTGATGTACTATGTCAACATATTTATGTATATGAAAAGTCAGTGGGTGAATTCGGATGTAGCGACCCACAATGGGTGGAGAAAACAAGTTCTCCTTTATTCTGGAACCGTCCATGTTTCCATTGAAGGTCTGATAACAAGAAAGCAGATGTGAATAATACCGAAATTATAAAAGATACAAAAATAGTCACATTTATAATTAGGATAGCACTTTTTTAGAAATGGAAGCAAATCAGTTTCACTGGAAAAATTATTTGTAAAAGTGAGTTTCATCATGTGTTTCTTAAGATTGCGATGTTTATTGGGCAAAAGATTATATTTAATGGGTGGAGGGTTTGTAGCCGGCTAGAAGTTTTCTTTAAATAGCTCTTAGAATATGATTATCACAAAAAAACGTGATAGGGATTATCTTGGAAATTTCTAGAAGATTGAATAAGAGCCTTATATAATATGTTAACATATTTATGTATATCTATATTTATGTATATGAACGCCAGAGATGTTTTTACTTATTTAAAATGCAAAGACATTAGGCATATCTTAAATTATGTTTCATTTATAAGTCCTAAAGGACAAATGTCACAAAAACAATTTCCAGATCACTTTTCACCCTCAAAACAAAAAAAGGCCAAAAAGCCTCTGCCTCTTTGTATATCATATACAAACAGAAATGTAAAGATCTTAACAGCAACCAGTCAAAATAAAAGTTTGGTTTAACTTGAAGAAACTGTGAAAGAAATGCATTACTTAATGCAACGATAGTAGTACTACTTCTAATAATAAAAGTATTATTAAAACATTATTTACCAGAAAAAAATATCTACTAGAATTTATTTAGCATGTAAATACACAACACAGTATTTCTGTAAAAAAGAAAGAAAGAAAGAAAATGAATTCTTTTTTTTTTATAAAATCAATTAGAGATGCTTTTGATTATTAATATTTAATGAAACCATTAAAAAAATACTGAATTTGAGGGGGAAAAAACATATTTCATAGGGCCTTAAAACTGTAATTTTTGTTACTTTTTTAAATTATAAATTGCTGTTAAATTGTATTGTTAAAGATACAGAGGTAAAAAAGGGTGAGGGTGGAAATGGTCATTATGCTAACACTAAATAACAGTGAAATAAATATTTACTAACATTATAAGAGAACTTCGGGGAGGAAAAAATTTAAATGCTACAAAAAGCACACAGTATGGCCTCTTTAAATCAGTTAAGTTTAGAGAAATTCAGATGTTGGTACTGACATAAGATGGCTTGGTACTGTTTCCTCGGTAGGTAGTCCAGTTCTCCTGGTCAATGCTGTAACTGACGGTGTACAGGATAGTGAAATACTCGCTCAAACCCATCGAGGTCTTTGCACCCTGAGTCCGAATGCCATGAAGAAGCATGGGCCTCAGTAGATCCACCTAACACAACACACAGAGTAACAAAGAGAACAGATATGGAACGTTATCTCATTCTGTTTTTTAACAATGAATTTGTGCTTATTTACTAAAACAATCTAAAACAATGGAATAGCAAGTTGTGCATTGCTAAAAATAACATCCGCAAAAAAAAAAAAATGTCATTAGTTTTCAGTGTTAAGATTAAGATTTTATAAATGCCCAGAACTTTTCCAGGCCTTTCCAGGAAACCCACCATCATATGAACCCTGCTAAAAATAGTGAATTGTTTTATATCCTACACATTTTCTACTATTCCACTATTGAAGCAAAGGTTAAATAAAATCTTCTGCGCAAACCTATTTATAGTATTTAAAAGTATTTCCCACTTTGTCTTGCTGACAGTGAAAGTGTAATGTGTCATGACTTGCTGACTGTGGTGCAAAGAGTCACTATTGTCTGTGACACATTGTGAGATATGAGCCACAAATGAATCATAATGTGTTATTTTTAACTTTAAATATGAGCCATCATGGTCCATGACCACAGTTCCTTAAAAATCAGCCAAAGGACAGCATGTTACGTCTGCAAACAAAAGATTTCTTTTACCTGGAGCCAGGAGTCTGTGCCGCTGCCCATCCAGGCATTAATAGAGCCAGATAACTCAAGTCTGGCTAAACTTGGCTTCCAGACACCTGCAGAGAAATGGGTTTTCAACAGTTCAATAAATGTGGAAATATTTGATTAATAACACTAGATTTTGTGGCCAAAGTCAAAAGAGCCCTATGGATTTTCTATGGGATTTGCACCGGTTTTATCATCTGCCAGTTTTATCATTACATTATTATAAAACTAAACCTATAGTGTTTTCATTATTTGAAATAAAATCAAACACAAAATGACAAAACACAACAAAATGAGTAATAGTTTTAATAAAATTAAAGTAAAAACAAAATTTAAAAATAAAATCTTTTTTTTTTTTTTTTTTTTTGCTATTGCAAATCAGCATATTAGAATGATTTCTGAAGGATTATGTGACACTGAAGCCTGGAGTAATGATGCTGAAAATTCAGCTTTTTTTTTTTTAGCTTATTGAAAAAGAAAAATGAAAGTAAAATGAAAGTAAAAACAGAATATAAAAATAAAATCTAACTCAACATAATAACAAAAACTATAATAGTATATCAATGATACTGCAAAAATATCCCTGTCTCTTACCAGAGTGGTCAGAGGCTGTTATTTGTTTGTTGTCAATCCATCCTGACTGCATTCCCAATGGCTGAATGCATCCTTTAAAACAAAACCAGTCAGTTTCAGGTGCCCTCTAACTATTAGTAACTCAAAACATGACTGCAGGATGCCAAGAAAGGTCTGTGACAATCTCCCATAGAGGAAGAGAGTTAAAGCTCTTACGTGGGTTGTAGACCAGCAACTTGGCCCTCATGCCTGCCATCTGATGTTCTCCTATAGTGCACTCTATTAACCAGGTGCCTACGATGGCTGGCCTCATCTCCACCGTCCCAAAAACCCCTGCCAAAAGAGACAGAATTATCGTTATACACTGCCAAATGTTTGGAATCATTAAGATTTTAAAATGTTTTTGAAAGATTGTATGATGTTCCAGTTGAACAGTTTTGCTTAAAATGTAATTGCCTCCCCTTTTCACGTCTAATCCCTATTAACCGTGTTTACTGGAATGTTTCTGAAGTAGGTAAATACAGTATTTGTATTGTTATCTGTCAAAATAATGGAAATCATTCTGAAATATTATCACTCAACATCATTTTTGATTAAGGCAACATATGTTACATTACACAGACATTTTGTTTAAAACATCTGTAATATTGCTGTGGAAATAAACAAGATTTTGGGGGTTTTCATTGGATTAGAATAATGTTATATCATTGTACCCAGTATTTGAGGATGCTTATCGCATTCATAGAGCACATTTGTTTACAATTTAACAGAAGTTACTCCCATAATTTGTGCAAAGCAAATAAGAAAAAGGTGGATAATGTTACAGAAGGTTTTTGTTCTTGTGAAATTTCTGTTCATCAAAGAATCCTGAAAACATATATCACAAAAATATTAAACAGCAAAAACCATTTTTAACAATAATAACAATTATTAATAATTGAGTAGAAAATCAGCAGAATGATTTCTGAAGGATCATGTAACACTGAAGACTGGAATAATGATGCAAAAAAAATCAGCTTTGCATCACAGAAATGAATAACATTTTATTAAAATAGAAAACAGTTATTTTAAATTATAATAATATTTTACATTACCGTTTTTTTACTTACGTATTTTTTATTAAAAAGGAAGAGCATAAGAGGCTTCTTTCAAAAATATTTTAGAATATATATATATGAAAGTGAAAGGTTTGTGTATTTGTTTATAGTTTACCGGGATAGAGATTGAAAACTCCCATACGGTGTTCCTGATCTTTTCCGACTCCGAACGGCAGTCCGTGGAAGTGTATGGCGTGAAACTCGCCTTGACCCCCAACGTTGAGGAGGTGCCAGCGAGCCGTCCGGTACTGTTCAACTATCAGGCCAGGAAGCGTCTCTGACACATAGCCATTAATAGCTACAAGAATCAAGAAATACAACACAATAATTATGGCTATTATTACATTTCCTAATATGCCAAGGTCATAGGTTCAGTTCCCAGGTAATGCGCAAACTAAAAACAAATGTATACCTTGAATGCATTGTAAGTTGTTTTGGATAAAATCAGCAACCAAATGCATAAATCTAAATATAGATGTGTTGCCCTGAGTCAATGAATTTCCAAATAGTTTGTTTGTATTTAGAAAAACTGGGTGTTTGGAACATTGGCAATTAGCTAAATTAGTTCAGCATGTTACATTATACGTCCTGTTTCTTGTACTAAGGAAAAGTAATAGAAAAGTGTTTGTGTGTGTGATTTAACCACCAAATTACATAAGTAACACAATAACAAGCACAAACACTCATGTGTCTGTTTGGTGTTATTAGCGTTGTCATTGAAACAAATCTTTTTTGAGTCAAAGAACATAAACAGATGAATGCAGTGTTAATCATAAATTATGAAAATGTACCCGCAAACTTGTTGCTCATCTCGAACCATGGGTCATCTACTTTGGCCTGGCAGGGAGGGGTGCAAAACTTCCTGGTGTTGTAGTCGAGGTACCAGCTCTTTCTTTCATCAAAGGTGGTGAAGAGAAGGAAGAAATCCATCACGTCGGGCTGAAGCAAGTCGCGTGGACGAAGGATACCAGGACGACATATCAGCACCGGACCGATAAGACCAGAGTTTATGTCCTTCTCCTGTTGAATGCAGGAGGAATACAGAAGTTATTTAAGTTTACATTTATATGTTTGACAGACGCTTTTATCCAAAGTGACTTGCATTGCATTTAAGCCATACTGTACATTTTATCAGTTCATCCATACTCTGGGAATTTTTTTGTTGAGCGTCATTTGATCAGGCTTTTATGGTTCATATGTAGTGAGAATATGGAGTTCATACTCTCAAATGTATTTTTCTAAAAAATTATGCATTGATAATCAAGTAAACCTAAATCCAGTAAGTGCTCATCATGAAAAATGTTTGAAAAATACATTTACACTTACGTTTGCATTATAAAAATCAGATTTCACAGCAAACATACATGAACCATGACCTGAAGGTGACCTGATGTTTTTACAATTATACTAAAGGCCTTTTACTTGCTAAAAAAGTATAAACTATCAATCAGATGACAAAGTGCATGTAGTAGATTGTGTGCAACAGGTTTTGATCATTTAGAGGCCTTAGAAATTTGTATATCAAATATGATACAGGAGGCTTTATAGGATTAAAGATAACATGAAAATGTAACATTTTTGTGCTTCAACCTGATTTTGATTCATGTGTTGCACATTGAATTACCATGTTAACGTCGGAGTAGTATGCTCCAGCCTTGCAGTCAAACTCTGACGCTGAGGGACCTTGTCGTCTGGAGATTCTCCAGTTGTAAACCCTCTCCTCCCCTGGAGGAACTGGATCACCTGGTACTTGTTCGGCCTTGGTGCCTTCTGGGCCCGTTCCAGGGCTAAAACTCCCCTGCGTCTTATCGTACACCCCATGCAAGTGGAAAGAGTACGGTCTGGATGCCAGGTTCTTGAAAACCACCTTGTGGGAAAAGAAATGCAAGAAATTAGCGTGTGCAATGACAAAGGGGTGGTCACATTTATACTTTCAGCAGATGCTTTTATACAAAGCGACTTACAATAGAGCAGCATAAGCAATTCATCACAGAGCCAATAATATTCGTAGTATGCAATGTCACATTTATTAGAATGTTAGATTAGGAAGTTAGTAGGAGGTTTGGAGGCTACATTAGTGAAATTTCCTCAAAATTTCAAGGACAGTTTTCTGTTGTCAATGATGTAGCAACGTATGAAGCACAGCTCACACAGAAGTCACTTTTAAACAGCTTTCTTTTGGTCAGTGCAACAAATTAGCATAACCAGCTTGAACCCATTGCGATCTGCGTGGAAAAATCTTTTGTCTTAACTTGAATTCAATCATGACAACTCTCGGGAAGATTTTAGCATGGTGATGGATATGACAATGTTAATGTATTTGGTCTTGGTGGAATAGATCTGCTACATTGCTGCTGCTGAATTGGTGCTTCTGTTGGTTATTGCTGTAGTTGTATATTATTGCTGCTGCTGCAAGTACAGGAACTTGCTACAGCCAATGCATACGGCGATACGGTACCATGAGTATTTAAGACATACTGCTGCTGCACAAATAGCATATAAAATAACTTGTAGCAGATCTATACAGGTGGAGCTGGGGAAGGTGGAGGGTTTCAGAGAAACTCTGAAAGCGTGCTGCAGGAATCTCAAGTGAATGCTAGCCAGCCATATAAATGCAAGGCAGTAAGCTCATTGGCTGCATATGCAGCATGAACCAATCAGCTTGTGCCAAGTCGTTTAACTCTCTGAATATCATTGGTTAAGTAAGAAACTTACAGTAAGAACATCATTGATTTCTGCCTTCAACACAGGACCCATAATGCCGAGGTGCTCGTCCAGTTCTCCTCGTTTGATTGGATGCTTGAAATCTCTGTCCTGATAGGCTCTGAAAACCACTTTTTTATAGGCTGGGTAATATTTTCTCATTCCCCTCCGCATGTCCCTGTGAGCACATGAAATATTTAGTGCAAGTGCAATTGACCAAGCCTTTAAGGCTGGTTTTAGGCTTAATTTGAAAAGCAATAATATTAATATCCTGATCTAAAACAGCATTGCATTGTGACAATTTTTTTTGACAAATAAGGATTTAGGATTGTTTTTCTGCTCTCGAGACTAAAACTAACTATTTACAAACATCTAAATAGATTTGATTCAATCAGACATCACATCACAAATTAGATTTTATACAGTTTGTAACAGTAATATATATAATTTCATATTATATTTGTGTGATTAGAAATATTTCAGAATTGTCTGCTAAAATGAACAAAAATGTGGTTATGACATTTCTATGAAAAATAAGGATTTTAAGGCATTTTTGCTTTTCAGGCTGTAACTAACTAACTGTATACAACTAAACAACTAACCTAAATGGATCTGATTCAGTCCGACACCACCAAGAATTAGATTTTATACAATATCTTATATTCTTTTGGTGCTAGCGTTAAAATTATGCAATTCCTTACAATTGCATATTTGCCAACTGGATTCTATTTCCCAGTTTAAAACTCAGATTAAAACATATTTGTTTAGAACAGCTTTTAGTGATTTGATTGTTTAATTTATATGTTTGTGTTTACTATTTGTGTTGTGTTTATGTTATTTGTATTTCAGTGTTTTTGCTGTAAGTTGTCCTTGAGTGAATTGAAAGGCACTTATAAATGAAAGGTATCATTATTATTATTATTTAAAGGGGTCATATGATGTTGCTAAAAAGATCATTATTTGGTGTAATGCAATGTGTTTATGTGGTTTAAGGTTCAAAAAACACATTATTTTCCACATACTGTACATTATTGTTTCTCCTCTATACCCCGCCTTTCTGAAACGTGTCGATTTTTACAAAGCTCATTGGTCTGAAAAGCGAGGTGTGCTCTGATTGGCCAGCTATCCAGTGCGTTGTGATTGGCCAAATACCTCAAGCGTGTGACGGAAATTTTACACCGCTTAGCATATTGTGATGCCCTGTCCGGCCGAAGCGATGATTCAAAAACATGAAAACCCATTATAAACGAGGCATTTGTTGCATCCAGTGGGGACATAATTACGGGTTATAATGACTTATACTGTCTTTTTACGCGTTGCATTGCATCGCGCTGCGTAAACATAAAACCATGTCTGCATTTGTGATCGGAGAAATGACAAACAACAAGCGTTACTCTACACTGCTCAAAACTCGTGTTTGAATCATCAGTGACAGTGACAAATTCTTTAAATATAAAAAACGTACTTACAGTCTGTGAGTCAGAATCAGGAAACAGTCCTCCATAAAATGTGCTGCACACATCTGAATATTTGGGTTGAACTGTTCTGGAACAGGGTTGTAAATACAACTTAACCACTGATTTCTAGTTGTGTCCTCTTTTGGAAGGCCAAATAAAGTATTTTCGCTTTCGCAACGAAACACACAGCGTCTTCACATCATGGCGGCGGTGGTGGCAGCAACAATAAAGTTACGCCTTCTTTCTTTGCGTGAACATTTGGGCCGCGTTATGCAAATCTTCCCAGATAGTGACGTAGACATGTGGGGGCATGTTTAAACGAGGCGTTTTAGGATGGCGTGGACGAGTCTTAACTTTTATAAAGAATATCTCTTTGGGTTTGAGACTTTAGTCTTTGCAACGTTAGGGATCTTATCTATTCACGAACAGCTTGTAACACTCCAAAGAGAAAGAAAAACTTGAAATCGCATCATATGACCCCTTTAAGACTTGAAACATTAGAAATTATTTAGAATTGTCCACTAAAATTACCAAAAATATGTTTGTGGCTCATCAGAATGTTTTTTTTTACCTTGGTTTGATGAGTTGAGCTGGTTTATTGATCCCATAATCCCACATGATTTCCTCTGCTGCGATATAGTAACTTCTGAACCTTGATTCCGTGGACCTAATGCCGACATTATCTTCAACATGATGCTCCAAACCGAGAACACTTCCTTCATCGCCATAATCATCATAGTCACTTGCCAGTGATTTCCTGCCATAGGTCTGGTTATCTGATGAATTTGACACTGGCTCCAAAACTGATTCCAAATCTGGTTGGAACTTCTTTGGATCTTTGTAGTCATAGCTATGAAGATTCAAACTTTCCTCCATATTATCCTGCTTTAGACCAGAACTTCCAGAGTCTTTCAGAACTTCATTGTTGCTCTTAACTTTCGCATCCACTTTGTTTATTTTGTCTTTGCTGACGCTCCACAACTCCCTTCGATTCCTCACTTTCTCTGATTTCTCTTCCGTAGAGTCGTTTAGAAGTTGGTGGTTCAACAGGTTTTTATCTTTAAAAAGTAATTTTCGAAATAGGTCATTTGTTGGATGAGTTTTATTGTCATCTTCATTCAACTGTATGTTTGCAATGTTCATATTTTGATGTTTTCCTGTTAATGCCTTGTTTTCTGCTGTATTTGATATGACTGTAGGATCAATCACATTTGGCCTTCTTCTGTAAGGCTCAGATTCATGGTGGGACCTTTTTTGACGTTCCAAGGAATTTCCACTCATCTCCCCGTCCAGTTGATCCAAAATATCCTGTGGAATACCGCCCTGTGATAGCACATCCAGATCGTTTTCCCGCTTTATGGGAATATATCTTATCTCACACACACGAGTTCTGTTTTGTCTCTCCGTGTCTGAGCTCATGTTTTCTCGCCCAATCGCAGAGTCTGTCACAGTTCTGTTTTGGCACACGCGAACAGCGATAGTGCGGTCCTTTTCCATTGTGCTTCGTGGAATCGGGAAATTCTGTTCAATGAATTCATTTAATTCGTCATCGTAGTCTTCATTGTCCACCACAGGTAGGACTCTTTCACAGTTAACAACCGTGTAGTGAACACTCATGCCTCGCTGTTTCAGAGACGGGTCAAATGCGCTGACCTCCCATTCACCTACAAAGTTGAAATATCAAACTTATGAACATGGTATCAAAACAGGTTCCTGGTTTAATTATGAATGATAATCTTCATAATCTTTCATTGATAACTTGATCCGCCCTAAACAGCATTTTTTTTCAATATATACAATATATATTCTTTCAGTGCAGCTTTACATTAATAAACAGAAAAAATAACTTAAATTGACAGAATTCATCAATTTACGAACAATTTAATTTAAACTGTAAAGCAGCTATACAGAAGGTTATAGTGTCAATTTCAGTTCAATTTAGTTCACTGTGGATTTAGTTCAGTTCAATAACTGTCAAAGTGCATCAATTAATAAACAAGTTCTATTCAGCTATAAGCTGCTCTACAAAAGGAAATTACAAAAAGAATATTTTTTTCTATAATTAGTTTTTATATTTTCCCTTTTAATGTTAATTTTACTTTACGTTTTATTAATTTAGATGTTTTTTTTAAATACACTACCGGTCAAAGGTTTGGAATATAATTCCACATTTTTAAATGTTTTTGAAGTCTATTCTCACTAACACTGCATTTATTTGATCATGAATACTGTAAAGACATTAATATTGTGAAATATTATAGAAATTTTACAAAAGTATTTTATTAAAGGGGTCATATGATGCGATTTCAAGTTTTAATTTCTCTTTGGACTGTTACAAGCTGTTCGTGAATAGATAAGATCCCTAAAGTTGCAAATACTAAAGTCTCAAACCCAAAGAGATATTCTTGATAAAAGTTAAGACTCGTCCACGCCATCCTAAAATGCCTCGTTTAAACACCCCCCCCCCCCATGTCTACGTCACTGTGTGGGAAGATTTGCATAACACCACCCAAATGTTCACGCAAAGAAAGAAGGCGTAACTTTATTGTTGCTGCCACACTCCGGCCAGGACACAGCATCACAGTATGTTAAGGGACGTAACATTTCCGTCACACGCTTGAGGTATTCGGCCAATCACAACGCACTGGATAGCTGGCCAATCAGAGCACACTTCGCTTTTCAGACCAATGAGCTTTGTAAAAATCGACGCGTTTCAGAAAGGCGGGGCATAGAGGAGAAACAATAATGTACAGTATGTGGAAAATAATGTGTTTTTTGAACCTTAAACCGCATAAACACATTTCATTACACCAAATACACAAAATAATGTTCTTTTTAGCAATGTCATATGACCCCTTTAACTTTTGACCAGCAGTGTATGTCTATGTAGTTTTTATTAATTATTATTTGAGTTTTAGTTTTAGTTATTTTAGTAATTAAACTCAAACTAAACGAGAACTATATGAAATAACATAACATCTTTAGCAAATAACTCAAATAATTTTTAATATATTTTATTTTATTTCAGGTCATGCTTATTTTGTTTTTAACGGTTTTAATTTTAGTTTTTTTTAATGATAATAACCCTTCATCAAACCTTCTTAGTTTTCAAAGCATCTGCTCTAGCCAATATCTTGATACTCTTACCTAGCATCTCCACTTCACTGGTGACTGTGTCTCCAGTCATTGGGAAGAGTGTGAGGACAGTGCCATATGTTTTATCCCTCTCAAACGTGTTTCCTGTGAAGTAGACTGACAGGAAGTTGTTTTGCATGCCAATGCTTGCCACATGCCAGAGTATGACATCGCCAACACACATCCTGAATTGTAGGTGGTTGAACATGAACCCATTAACAGCTGAAACACAGACAGAAACTCAAAATAAAAAAGTGATCTGCAATTTAACTAATGGAAAATAGAGATCAATCCCGTTTTTAAGTAACACAAATACCCAAAGCAATCCCAGGTTATTCAATAATTTACATCTAGAGACTAAAAATCAACACCCACTGTGCATGACATTAGAATTGTAGAAATCTGGATCATTGCGGTCAATCTTAGTTGGATCTTCACTGTTTTTTTTCATGTTCTCCTCAAAGTACCAGCTTCTGTTTTCATCAAACACAGTGAACAAGAGCTTCTTCTCTTTATCTGAAGTTACCTGTGAAAACATATTATTAATAATTTCCATCCATTCATCCATCTATCCATCAGATAAACCAACATACTGTAGGCTCAATGGAAAGGAGCGCCTCTACCTACATTTTTGCATAAAACTATACCTACATGCTGCATGCATATTCACTGCAGTTTCCACCTGAAATGTATACTGTGGGCAGTAAAACAAGTTTTATTCTTTATCATACAAATTATGATTAAGGGGCAGATTATTTAGTAATAAAGACTTATTTCCTTGCACAATACTATGTTATGACCTCAAACACCTTTACCATATTGATTCATTTGTAAACTCATACATTTTCATGTTTACATCACATAGCCAGCTCAATATGTATGGCTTGTCTGCAATGGTAAACTTGCTTGGTAGTGCACAGCAATGCACTTGTGATGCGAAGTCCCGTGAAACATGAGTCACGGCAAATAAGCTCAAAGACTTAAAGAAGCAAGCTAAAATTACATGGTTTATTTAGCAAATGTGTTTTTATCTCACTTTTGCATTTAACATTCGATTTTAGCACCATTTACTAGACATTACACTTTCTAAGTGCCGTGAAAGGTGCAATTTTTGCAGAAATGTCGCTACAGGCACATTTTTCCAGTCAGTCTGTGTAGAGACAAACAGATCTACATCAAAGTCCTTTCTCACCACTCTGCCTCTTTTGTCCAGAGATTGGGATTTGCAGATGATGAGGGGTCCCACCAGCCCAGATGCCACGTCCTGGATGGGATCCAGCATACTCTGGTATAAGCGCGTGAGGCATCGTGGGTCAGCTTCTGTGGGTCCATCTTCAGCTGTCAGTTTCCAGAGGTACATCATTATCTCACCAGGGGGAACGGCCAAAGAACGAAGGTCCACCGGTTTGTCTTCAACCCACAAAGAAAGTAAAATCAGTTTTAAATTCATTAAAAGTTAGTTTGCATCCAGCTGACTAGAATAACTTGATACCAGGGTTATTAGCATTAACTAAAACTAAAATCATTAAAAAAATTATTACTAAAATAAAATAAATGTTAAATGAAATAAGTTAACGTAAACTTCTATTTAAGCTAACTGTCAAGGCAGCATTCCTTTTTTCTCCTGAACTAAAGCCTTTTCATTCACGCAGTGAAACTGCACAGCCATTGGACCTTGCAGTGTAAAACGAACCAATGACTAGGCAGCAGAGCTGCACAAGCCTATGGCAACGAAGGCCACCAAAGCCCGCCAGAATGGGCGGGACATCTGGCTATATAAGCAGGTGTTCGCCACAGGATTCTCAGATTTTTTCTCCTTCAGCGACGACTCTACGCCTTCAAGCTGATCCGTGTGGGTCTCCCCTGCACGCCGATGACGGACACACAGAGTGCGTTTCCTGCTTGGGGAAATCCCATGCGGAAGCTGTGCTCATGGGAGCTATTTGTTCCCATTGCGAGAACTTCAGTCTCACCTCTCTCCACTCACGGATCGCTTTCTTTTCAGAGAGCGACTCCGCCCCTCGCACCCTCCCGTTTTCTTCCTCCTAGGGACCTGTGAGGAAAAAACAGCGGGGCAGAGGGGTCGAGCAACCGACTGCGAGCGAGCCCACATCGGCCCAGATCCCGCGTGCCTCGCTCTCGCCCCAGAGAGAGTATTCCCCTGTCCTTTTCTCCCGGTCTTATCAGTGTCCCTCTGCTGGTGCGAGCGACCTGATCTCATTTGGGGGAAGTGAGGACGAGCTGCTTGATGACAGCATGTCACTGGCAGCCCGCAAAACCATCACCTGCTGCCCCCGCTGTTCAGCCCGCTAAAGCGCAGCAGACGCGGGGATGCTCTCGCTCAGCCAAACGCTACCCTCTTCCTAAGCGCCAGGGACCCTGACCCAAGATTGCGTTGGACCAGGCGCCTCAGGTGTCATCCTGATCTGCGAGACAGGAAGAGGACGGGGTCAGATCTCGCTACGGCCGGACCACCCCTCAAGCAGCCTCTCTTAGACCTCTTGACACCCCGTTGAACTCCTGGTACAGTGGGAAATGTGTTTTGTGCATACAAATGGGTCCATTCATGCGCCCAAGCATTCAACCGCTGTGATAGTGGAAAAAACATTTTCAAAAAGCGAGCAAACTTCCTCTTCCATTACTCATAAGTGTTTTGCCCCCGTGTGGCCAGTCACCTGAGTTAATTCAACCCCTCTCCACACGGGCCGAGGCCTGGCAGGCCATCCCCAGAGTGTCGAGATGGGTTATGGGTAGGGCTGCACGATAAATCGCATGCGATATTTAATGCGCATCTTGTCAGAAAGCCAGTTCTGTAATCAGCGGTAAATCTCCATCATGTGCGTGCTTTCACATTGAGCAGCATTAACTACACAGAGAACTACACTGATGGAGATTTACCGCTGATTACAGAACCGGCTTTCTGACAAGATGCGCATTAAATATCGCTTGTGATTTATCGTGCAGCCCTAGTTATGGGGATAATAAAACGAGGATATTCACTCCAATTCGCTCGAAGACCCCCGCGCTTCAGCGGCGTGGTCCCCACCTCAGTGCAAAGCAAGGATGCTCACATCCTGCGCTCAGAGGTGATAAATTTGCTGGCAAAAGGAGCTGTGGAAATGGTTCCTCCAGCCCAGAGAGAGTCAGGCTTCTACAGCCGTTACTTCCTCATCCCCAAAAGAGGGATGCCCTCTGGCCCATCCTCGATCTCAGACACCTGAATCATGCCCTCATGAAGAGGTCGTTCAGGATGATTACACTGAAACAGATCCTCGAGCAAATTCGCTCAGGAGACTGGTTCTTTTCTCTGGACCTGAAGGATGCATATTTTCACATCCAGATAGCCCTCCGACAACAGGCGATTCTTGAGATTCTCCTTTGAGGGAGTGGCTTATCAATACACAATCTTTCCCTTCGGGCTGTCCCTGGCCACCCGCACTTTTACAAAGTGCATGGACGTGGCTCTCTCCCGTCTGAGACAGATGGGAATCCGCAATCTTAATTACCTCGACAACTGGCTTGTTCTGGCCCAGTCAGAGGCAGAATTAATATCACACAGGACCCTCCTCCTCAGCCACCTGGAGTGCCTGGGACTCAGGGTCAATTTTGCCAAGAGCTCGTTGTTCCCCAGCCAGCGAATTTTGTTGCTGGGAACAATTTTCGACTCAGCCCAAATGAAAGCTGTAGTCACGCCGGAACGGGCTCTGGCCATACAGAGGCTGGCGACCTCCTTCGAGATTGGTACCACTTGCCCTCTCAAAGCGTTTCAAAGGATGCTGGGCCTCATGGCGGCAGCATCGCCAGCTGGGTCTGCTGCGTATGCACCCCCTTCAGCGCTGGTTGAAACCACGGGTTCCATCCCATGTGTGGCATCACTGACGCCTGCAGATCAGGATGAGTCAGGCCTGTGTAACAGCCCTGGCCCCCTGAAGAACTCCCGCTGGATGGAACAGCGCGTGGCCATGGGGATGGTTTGCAGAAGGACACAGGTTGGGGGGCGCTGTCAAGTCAAGTCACCTTTATTTATATAGTGCTTTTAACAATACAGATTGTGTCAAAGCAACTGTACAGCATTAATTAGGAAAATAGTGTGTCAATAATGCAAAGTGACAATAGTAAACACTAATTTTTCAGTTAAAGGCAGTTCATCATTGAATTCAGTGATGTCATCATCCAGCTCAGTTCAGTTTAAATTGGTTCTGAGCAATCAAGTCAACGATATCGCTGGAAATGAAGTGTCCCCAACTAAGCAAGCCAGAGGTGACAGCGGCAAGGAAACGCGCTGTGCGAGGGCATACCGACTTTCGGCCACTGGTTGAAGGCGGAAAAGGGCTTCCACATCAACTGCCTGGAAATGCTAGCAGTATGTCGAGCCTGTCAGTTCTTCCTGCCAGTCCTAAAGGGGCACCATGTGCTAATCCGATCGGACAACATGTCTGTGGTGTCCTACATAAATCACCAGGGAGGCCTCTCCTTGAAGCGTCTCTTCACTCTGGTAGAGCGCTTCTTAAAATGGGCTCAACCCAACCTGCGCTCGCTGAGAGCAGCGCATGTACCGGGCAAATTGAACCAAGGAGCAGACATGCTATCAAGGAGCAATGTCCCCTCAGGGGAGTGGACGCTCCATCCGCAGACGGTTCAGAGAATCTGGGAGATCTTTGGCAAGGCCAAGGTGGACCTCTTCGCCTCAGAAGACAACTCTCACTGCCCACTTTATTTCTCAAGGACCAGGGACGCGTTGGCCCACGATTGGCCCAACCTCCTTTTTTATGCTTTTCCCCCGATTGCTCTGATCCCACAGGCAATCAGGCGAGTGAGGGAACAAAAACACAAGGTTCTCCTGGTGGCCCCCCTTTGGATGAACCAGCTGTGGCTATCAGAGCTAACTCAGCTATTGATAGCGGCCCCTTGGCCTGTTCCGCTGAGACAGGATCTCCTCTCTCAAGCGAACAGGACAATATAGCATCCTCAGCCCGACCTATGGGCCCTGCACATCTGGCCGCTCGACGGGAGCCTTTGAGCCTCCCAGAGTGAGTCTTAAACACAATTTTGGAGGTTAGAGCTCCATCTACGAGACTCCTCTACGCCTTAAGGTGGTCTTTTTTCTCCGCTTGGTGTCTAAATCGCGGCAAAAACCCTCATACTTCCGATTTGACAGAGGTGTTGTCATTTCTGCAAGAGCTGTTGGATAAGGGACGTTCCCCATCCACGCTCAAAGTCTATGTGGCGGCTATAGCGGCCTCTCATGCCCCAATTGAGGGCCAATCGGTGGGCAGAAACAGCGTAATCATCTGCTTCCTAAGGGGTGCCAGGAGGCTGAATCCACCTTGTCCCCCTACCGTCCCTTCATGGGATCTGTCCACTGTGCTGAGGACCCTGAAGGGCCCCGCTTTCGAGCTGCTACAGTCTGCCAACATTCGGTCGCTATTGCTGAAGACTGCTCTGCTTCTAGCACTGGCATCAGTAAAGCGAATAGGGGACCTCTCCGCGCTTCCTCCAACTGAAGAGGACAGAGAGCTATCTGCCCCGTCAAAGCTCTGAGAATCTATATTGAGCGTTCCGCCTCCTATAGGTGGTCGGAACAACTCTTTGTCAGCTTCGGTAACCGCACCAAAGGGCTTCTGGTTACGAAGCAAAGACTCTCTAAATGAATAGTAGACTCCATCTCGCTAGCGTACTCTTCTTTGGGCCTCCAATGCCCCATTGGAGTACGGGCCCACTCGATTAGAGGCATCGCCTCGTCTTGGACATGGTCCAGTTGTGTGTCCATTGCGGATATTTGTGAGGCGGCCGGCTGGGCCTCGCCATCCACATTTGCAAGGTTTTATAACCAGGAAGTCCTGGTCCTTTCCGCTTGAAGTGACATGTGCTGCGTAAACAGATCTGGCAGAGAGCCCTTGGCCGTATCACGCTCAAGTTCTCTGGCATTGTTTTACCTGTTAGCTCTCGACTGGATATCGAAGTTACAGGAGTACTCTGGAACGATTAACCAGGCCGGGTGTGACCTCGGGAAGCTCAGCCCATATTAGGCTTGGGTTGTTGTTAACTTCTCTATGGGCATTGGTTGCTGATGGAAGTTTATACTTTTACTCGTTCCACTACATTAGCATGGCGTGACTGTACTGTGTTCCCATATGCGTCTAGCAAGACACAGTACGAGTGTACTATCGAAAGGGAACGTACTCGGTTACTATCGTAACCTCGGTTCCCTGAGATAGGGGAACGAGTACTGCGTTGCTAGCCGTGCTATGTAGCTTCAGTCGAAGTAACCTGAGAATCCTGTGGCGAACGCCCGCTTATATAGCCAGATGCCCCGCCCATTCTGGTGGGCTTTGTCTGGCTTCGTCGCCATAGGCTCATGCAGCTCCGCTGCCTAGCCATTGGTTAGTTTTTAATACACTGCACGAACCAATGGCCGTGCAGTTTCACTGTGTGAATGAAAAGGCTTCAGTTCAGGAGAAAAAAGGCTTTTTTCCCATATGCGTCTAGCAAGACGCAGTACTCGTTCCCGTATCTCAGGGAACCGAGGTTACGTTTGTAACCGAGTACATTTCCCTTATGTACAATGTGAAAATGTACAATGAAATGCAATGACTCATACCCTTGTTTGTGTTCTTCAAAGGCTGAACACTGGTCAGGCCATTTGGATAAAGGTTGAATGGTCGACTGGCCATATTTTTAAAAACAATCTGTTAAGATATAAAAAAAATAGTGAATTTCAGAAAAAAAAAAAAAAAAAAAAAAAAATATATATATATATATATATATAACATCAAATTTAATTGTCTCAGTTTAACACTTTAAAGTCTCCATGAAATGAAAAATGCAATCTATTTCCTAAATGTGTCTTATTGATCTTGACTTACTGATTGATCAATTCATCCATGCAAGTTTCACACTACATTTTTCGTACAAGTCATATGGACTTATTTTATGATACATTTACATCTAAAAGCTTCAGTACCAATTGATTGCAATTGAAAAGATTGACCAGTCTTTCTCTGTTTCATGAAAGAAAGAAATGCCTATCCCTTTAAATCCACATTCCCTACCTGAAATTTGTCTCCCACTTCCCCTCTGAGCGCTGGGCCTATCAGCATTTTGCCAGTGATTTTCTTCTTAGTGAAGGTCTTGTCTGTGTACTCCACGAAAGCCACTTTCTTATAAACACCACCCAAGCGCTGAGGACCTTTTCTGAACCACTCAGATCCTGCTGCTGACGACGATGAAGTCCTGAAGCATGAAAATCAACATTATTTTCAGTCGGTTTGACATCATTCATCTCAGGGCATACTCAAAGTCGTACCGATCGCCGCTTTGAGACGAATAGTCCCAGTGCATCTCCTCTGCAGCGATGTAATGAACCCACACTTTAGGTCTTCCCTTGGCGCTCGATCGAAGCACTGATACAGGGCCTCCTTGCTTGAACACAATGGAGATCATGTTGTCTTCATCCTCCTCCTCATCATCATCATCACGTATGACGTTTCGTTTGTCTGGGATTGGGGCCACCACAGGTTCAGGACAGTTGTCAACAGTGAAGAACGCATTCATACCAGCTGGAGAAGAGAGTTAAATCGAACATCAGTGATTTGCATTCTTATTCAATTGCATTTCTAAACCAAACATAACTTGTTACTTCTTGCAAATTCATTTAGACCATCAAAGTACAAAGCACATATTTCTCAGGCCATCTTGATCTAAATCTTTCCCCTTATTAAACAAACAACAACCTCTTGTCCAACAAATGCCCGTATGATTGCCAATCAAGCTGTGTCATTGCACATTTTTCTTAACTTTTACTTAAAATATCTTATTTTAAAAGAACTAGAACTTAACTAGTCACAAATATGATCACTTATCCAACTGAAAAGACATAATGCAGTTTTTTATGCATTATCACCCCGATTACTGAACTTTTGAAGCCTTAAATTTGGTTTAAGAGTTTCATGTTGTACATCCTACACTGCTGTTAGGGTCAGTAAGATTTATTAATGTTGTTGAAAGAAGCCACTTATGCTCACCAAGGCTGCAATTATTTGATCAAAAATACAACAAAAAAAAACTGTAATATTGTGAAATAAATATTACTGTTTAAAATGACTGTTTTCTATTTAATATATTTTAAAATGTAATTTATCCTGTGATGCAAATCCAAATTTTCTGCATAATTACTCCAGTGTTCCAGAAATCATTCTAATATGCTGATTTGCTGCTCAAAAAACATTTCTTATTATTATCAATGTTAAAAACAGTTGAGCTGCTTCATATTTTTGTGAAAACTGTGATGTATTGGTTTTCAGGATTCTTTGATGAAATGAACCGTATTTATTTTAAATAGAAAGCTTTTTTAACATTATAAATATCTTATCTGCCACTTCTGATCAATTTGATGCATCCTTACTGATTAAAAGAATTCATTTCTTTCAGAAAACTTTACCTCAGCTGCAGTGCCTTTATTTTATCTTACAAAGTAAGTCCTGATGATAGCGTTATTATGAGTCTTACCTGTCTGATGAGAGTGGATCTCGCAAGAGATCAGAAACTTTCCGGTAGCAGATGGCTTCATGAGGGCTGTAGTGAAGGTCATGGGCGTCATCTCTACAGTTACCCGCTTATGGTCGAACACCTTTAATGTGTGTCCTTCAAACTGGATGCTGTGGATCTCTGGGGTCGAGCCAAGACCAATAAGATGCCAGGACACTACTGGACTCTTCTGGCACACAGTTAGACCTGATGAAACAGAAATTACAGAATATGTTTGAGAATTACACCTGTAAAGAACATGTCCACCCCAATTTCACAAATAAGAAATGAAGGGCCAGATTTACTATCAGCTTGCGCCAGCGCAAACCCTCATTTGGCATTAAAAAACTACTGTCAGGGTTTACTAAAGACACGCAGTGGGAAATTAGTGATGAAAAGGCATGGACACAGTTATTTTTGCGACTCACCTTATTGAATACGCATTTGTAGGAGTTTCCCTTTCGATCTGTAAATTTATGGGAGGAGAGCATTTAAATGAATCACGCAACGTGATTTACTAAGATTTGCTCTCGTCAGTTCACTGGTATTTGTGGCATTATTTAACGCCCCAAAAAAGCATGTCTTAAAGCAAGTGGTAATTTGCGCTGGTCATTATAGAAATTGGATGTTGCGTCTGTGTTCTTTAATGTGCGCATTGTCAGTAAATCACACGCAAAATTTTCCTCTCCCATCGCCGCTTTTATGGAATTGTGCTCTAACGCTAATTGCACTGTTTAGTAAATCTGGCCCTAAGAAATTAGAATGTACCAAAATGAAAAAAGAAGTGTCACTACTGGTCAAAAGTTTGTAATATTTAAGATTTTTTTTGATGCTTTTGAAATAGTCATTGCATTACATACAGTAAAAAAAAGTAATATTGTGAGGTATTTTTAATTTATATCATTAATAATATAATTAATTCCTGTGATGCGAAGCTGAATTTTCAGCATCATTACTCCAGTCTTCAGTGTCACATGATTATTTGCGTCAGTACGATTTTTTAAAATATTTTTATTCAGCAGTGACACATTAAATAGATCAAAACTGACAGTAAAGACATTTATAATGTTACAAAAGATTTCAATTTGAAATAAATGCTGTCCTGAAAAAAATGTATCCCAGTTTCCACAAAAATATTAGGCAGCACAACTGTTTTCAACATTGACAATAATCAGAAATGTTTTTTTTTAGCAGCAAATCAGCATATTAGAATGATTTCTGAAGGATCATGTGACACTGAAGACTGGAGTAATGATACTGAAAATTCAGCTTTGCATCAAAAGAATAAATTACATTTTAAAATATATTCAAATAAAAAAACAGCTATTTTAAATTGGAATAATATTTCACCGTATTAATGTTTTTTTTTACAGTATCTTTGATCAAATAAATGCAGCCTTGGCCTTGGTGAGCAAAAGAGACTTCTTTCAAAAACATTCAAACAATCTTATTATAAACATTTGGTTGTGTATATTTATATTTTGCATAAAGAAAATGAAACTTTTTTAGTACCTTTAATATACTTTTTGCATTAATATATGATATTATTTTCATTCAAATCAAACATAAATTCTACTCTAAAATGTATTATTACTTTAAAGTGAAAAATCTCATTCTTAACACGGTAATGATAACCATTTCTCAACAGCTGCTCAGGTGTGGTGAGGCTGATCGCACCTGGTAATGTTGAGTTGATGTATCCATTGATGGTGTGGTACTGGGTTGGACTTGATGTTTTCTTCAGTTTGTCTGCTCGGCCAACTTCCCGGTACCAACTTTTACTCTCATCGAAGACAGCAAGAAGCAAAATGAACTCCGGAACCTTCCGCTGTCTCTCCTCAGTCAGAGCCTCTGAGAGAGGTCAAATGTTAAAGGACATGTCAAATATACACCAGCATTCCAATTTCAGTACAAAATGTCAGTGAGATTTTACATGATATATTTGACAAATCCTAACAGAGAAGCAACAGTCACACCTGTTTTACAGATCAGGAGAGTCCCGACGAGTCCGCTGTTCAAGTCTCGGATGATGTCCACCTGTGATGAGTAAATGTAGGTAAGGCAGTCTGGATCTGATGTGGTTGGCCCGGAGTTGGGGGAAATGTCCCACACGTACTTGTAGTAACCACCAGGAGGCACTGCATCATCCGCTCGCTCCTGAACAGAGCTGAAGTCCTCGTACCCTGCGCCTGCCATTGAAAAGCAGAAGGATGTTGAGGTTTATCTTTACACATTATAGGTTTTCAAACCCATCAGGATATTGCAGTATATCTCACAATATTGCTTTCGTTTCGCAGGGTAAGGCCGAACTTTCTATATGCTGGTGTATATGGGAAATCAAATGTATTTTATGCACTCTGGAATTTATCAGTATCTCCAGTGTTACAAAACACATAACAGTATTCCAAAACAAGTCTATAATGATGTTGTGAGTTCAGTCTAGGAACAATTTGTCTTATGCAGTAAAAGTTGGACGGTTTGGAATGAAATGATTTACATTCCAAAAGGGTTTTTTCCGCAGCAATGTGATAGAAAAACTATTCTTTTCAATTCTTAAAAGAACCGCTTTTAGAACATTTTAATAATCTAAAGAACCTTGTTACATTATAAAGAACCTTTTGTGCAATGGAAAGATTCCATGGATGTTAAATCAATGGCTTTCATCAATTTACCTTCCGATTGTTTCCAGTACTGAATGCCGATGGGAGAAATGCTGAAAGATTGTGATGCAAAGTTTTTGAAGTGCACCACAACCCTGTCGTTCACCACTGTTCTGATAGTCGGGCCTTGAATACCTGAAACAGATCATTTAATATTCTATTTATTCAATTCTAAACTTCTTAATGTTTTTTTCCTAAGAAGCAGAGATTTCAACGCTTATACTGACCAGCCCAGGGAGGTTTTGACTTTGGTGCTGTAAAAGTAGAATCAGTGTATTCTTTATATACAGCCTTGATGTATTTCTGGACATCAGATGCAAATTTCCTGTTAGCAATAATTATGCTGTTACTAGACATATTTGCAATACAGTGCAATGCAACATAATACAACACAACTTTATTAATCCACTAGAGTTAGCAATTCATTGCTAAATATTGAAAGAAATAGTTCACACAAATATGAAAAGAAAATGTATTCATCCTCAGGCCATTCACCATATAGATGAGTTTGTTTCTTCATCAGAACAGATTTGGAGAAATGTAGCATTACATCACTTGCTCAGCAATGGATCCTCTGCAGTGCATGGGTGCCGTCAGAATGAGAGTCCAAACAGCTGATAAAAACTCTCCAACACTTGTGGATTATTGTGATGTATTTATGGATTATTGTGACACTTTGCATTAATTTATAAAATTTTGGAAGTGGTGATTTGAAGTTAAAAACATCTTGATGGATTCTAACAAACAGCTTTTGACTTCACAAGACATTAATTGATGGACTGAAGTGGTGTGGATTATTGTGATGTTTTTATCATCTGTTTGGACTCTCATTCTGACGGCACCCATTCACTGCAGAGGATCCATTCACCACAACCCTGTCGTTCACCACTGTTCTGATAGTCGGGCCTTGAATACCTGAAACAGATCATTTAATATTCTATTTATTCAATTCTAAACTTCTTAATGTTTTTTTCCTAAGAAGCAGAGATTTCAACGCTTATACTGACCAGCCCAGGGAGGTTTTGACTTTGGTGCTGTAAAAGTAGAATCAGTGTATTCTGTATATACAGCCTTGATGTATTTCTGGACACCAGATGCAAATTTCCTGTTAGGAATAATTATGCTGTTACTAGACATATTTGCAATACAGTGCAATACAACATAATACAACACAACTTTATTAATCCACTAGAGTTAGCAAAATATTGAAAGAAATAGTTCACACAAATATGAAAAGAAAATGTATTCATCCTCAGGCCAGTCACCATATAGATGAGTTTGTTTCTTCATCAGAACAGATTTGGAGAAATGTAGCATTACATCACTTGCTCAGCAATGGATCCTCTGCAGTGAATGGGTGCCGTCAGAATGAGAGTCCAAACAGCTGATAAAAACTTTCCAACACTTGTGGATTATTGTGATGTATTTATGGATTATTGTGACACTTTGCATTAATTTATACAATTTTGGAAGTGGTGATTTGAAGTTAAAACATCTTGATGGATTCTAACAAACAGCTTTTGACTTCACAAGACATTAATTGATGGACTGAAGTGGTGTGGATTATTGTGATGTTTTTATCATCTGTTTGGACTCTCATTCTGACGGC